GCGCAGCACTGCCCTCAGGGCAGCTCACGAGCCAGTGTGTCATCCATGATCAGGAGCCAGACAGAGTTCAACCCTTAGGGGCAGGAGGGCTAAGGGGTGGGTTGAATGCAACTTAGGATTGGGAGAGGGAGGGCCAGTCAGGGGAGGTCATTCCCTGGTGGTGCCCTGGGTGTGAGTTGTTCCCTCCTTGCCCTCTCCTTCCCAAGAGGGGCCCCTGAGCTGGGAATTCAGCATTCTCACAGAGCAACGCCTGACCTTTTTTTCTCTTGCCTCCTGCTCAGCTGCTGGCTTGTCCTCCATCCCAGGCCCACCAGGCCCTCCGGGTCCCCCAGGCCCTCGAGGCCCTCCGGGTGTCTCAGGAGCACTGGCAACCTACGCAACTGAAAACAGCGACAGCTTCCGGAGTGAACTGATTAGCTACCTGACAAGTGCGTGCCCCTAATGCTGCTGTCCTCTATGCCCCCTTCCCAGACCTTGCTTCTCCCTGTCAGCGGAGCAGAAGGCAAAGGACCCTGGGAGGCCAAATACATGACAGGCACTAGTCAGAGAAAGCCCAGTGCCTTGAAGTTCATATCCTGCTCAGGAGTGTTGAGACTCTGAGAGACCCCCCTTAACTCCCGCTCTTTCTCTCCACCCAGACCTGAGCTCCCACTCATGCAGCTTCCTCCCCACAGGTCCTGATGTGCGCAGCTTCATCGTGGGTCCCCCAGGCCCTCCGGGGCCCCAGGGACCACCTGGAGACGGCCGCCTGGGGTCCATGGAGGGCTCCTACAGTCAGGGCGGCAGCTCATCGGCCAGCAGGAGCACCTCCTACAGCTCTTCCATGGGCATAGGAGGAACCAGTGGAGGCTCCCTGGGTGAAGGGGGAGCCTTTGGCTCGGAAGGGGGCGTGTATGGCAGTGACAGCGGACTGTTCGGGGCTGGCTTTGCTGGAGGTCTGGATTACAACGAGCTGGCTGTCCGGGTGTCCGAGAGCTTGCAGCGTAAGTTGGGGCACTTAGGCCTCTGTGCTGTGGAGGGAGCGGGAGCGTGTGAGCCGTTCCCCATCTAGGCTGCAGAAACTCACCCTCTCATTTTGGAGCACCCAGGTTGTGAGGCCAGCAATTCTGGAGTCAGAAGGACAGGGACTGCTTAGTTCAAGGGGCCCCAGACAAGACCAGAACCTCTGCTGCAGGGAAGGGAGAATATTGGGGTCTTTGTGCTTCGCTTTCCCACTAACTTGTGTGGGTCTCAGAAGTCTTTACGACTATGATGGTTTCTGCTGGGGCTGAGGGGAGGTTGTTGGCTAAAAGGCTTCTGATGAAAAGCCACAGCACAGAGAAGACAAGGAAGCCGCAGCACTTTTCCCTCCTGTCACTTAACCTCCTCTAATTGTGTTGGGAGCTGGACAGTCAGGGGTGCTGTGCTCCCACGGTGAAGAGTGTGCCCACACTTTCATGCTTTACAGGTCAGGGCCTGCTGCGAGGGCTGGCCCACACTGTTCAAGGCCCACCAGGCCGGCCTGGGCCCCAGGGCCCCCCGGGCATCAGCAAGGTCTTCTCTGCCTACAGCAATGTGACTGAGGACCTCATGGACTTCTTCCGAAGTAAGGGCCTCCCCGATGGTTTTCCCAACACACACCTTGCTGCACAGTCTCACATGGAGTCTGCTCCACAGAAACCAGTCTCCTGGAAAACCCCATTATTAACCATGAGATGCTAAAAATCTGACAAATTCTAAACTTTGTTTTCCTCTTACAAGCTCAAACTGTGCCACTACCTATGTGTGAACAAATTCCTTTAGCTCCTCAGCTTCATGGTGACTGCTAGTCTAAGGCCTGTTTTTCTCCTTGCAGCTCATGGAGCCATTCCAGGACCCCCTGGGCAAAAGGGAGAAGTGGGCAGCTCAGGACCCAGAGGTAAGTGGTGGCAGGAAATGGCCACCAGGATCCTGTGTAACAACCTCATGCTGTAAAGCAGCTCCCTTGCCAACGCTATGCTGGGCTCTGCCGCTCCTCCAGGCCTCACACTACTGCTTTACTTAGCATCTCTCTCTCCTCCTAGGCGAGAGGGGCCCTGCTGGGCCACCTGGCCGGCCTGGGCCACCTGGCACTCGAGGGCCCAAGGGAGAAAAAGGAGACAAAGGTAAGCCTCCACTGCCACAGAGATTTGTTCCACAGCATGCCTGGAAAATTAAGGCAAATGTGAATTACTAAAGGCAGACCCTACCAACAATGTAATCTGCACAACAATCAAACAGCCAGCAGGGGAGAAAGGAAAGAGAGTGCCAATGCAGGGAGGAAAAGGAGAACCAATCTGGTAATGAAAGAGGGTAAACAATCTAAATAAATTGATAGTCTTCCGAAAGAGTTTATCTTCCAAGCCAGTTTTGCAAGTAGTCACAGTTGCCATAATTGCCCAAGTTAAAGCCCCCACAGGCCACAAGATATTTTTTAACTTCCTACTCATCTTCTAACTTTCATCTTCTAACTTTCAGGTGACCAAGTCTATGTTGGGCGGAGAAGGAGAAGCATCGCCACCAAGCCATGAGCTACCTTTGGTGGAACAGCCCCCAGACCAGTTCTTGCAATGGCTTATGGTGCTTAGATCAAAATCTCTCCAAAGGATGAAAGCTGGAGTCTCAATGCCTACTGATACAGCACAGCCAGTCAACTACACACTTATTTTAGTCTGAAAAAATATATACATATATAAATAATTCAAAGACACACCATCTGCAACAGCTTCATTGGGTAGACTTGAGTAGCTGCAGTGCTATGGCAGCAGACACACTGCTCTACTATCTAGATGTGAGCTTCTTGGCCTCATTAACACTAGTTCAAGCCCTAACCTAGGAAGCCAATTTCATACAAGTTGGCTCAGGAGTCCTTGAGCTCTGCCTGTAAATGAGCCCAGAAAATGGAAGATGGGGATGGTAGGGGGCATCTTCCTGTGGGCCACACTTAATGGGGGTGCATTCTGATTAATGCTATAAAGCTGTGCTGTCAGATCCTTCCTCCCCTGTTCACTCCGCATTCTCTAGTCACAGAACACAGTTGGCTAAGGAGCCACTCTTGCAACTGAAAAAGTTAAGAAATTCACTTCTCCTGAAGGTGGCTACGGGGTTTCTAATAGTTATTTCTCGCTACATATAGTCCTACTTGCTTAGAAAGTTTGATGGTAGCTATAATCTATATCCATAGGTCCGTGCTAGAGTTTATAGATTCGTTGTACTGAACTGGACTGCAGGAAATAGAAAAAGAAGGGCAAGGGGCAAGAAGAGAAAGAGGGAGGGAAAATAGACTATCTACTGCTAGGGCAGGATGTCACCTGTTCTGCACTTAGCAAATGGCATTGGGTACTGGGTGCAGTTGGTTTTAAGCACTTTTCAATGTCTAAAAATGTTAATGTGGTCTATTAGATGAAAAGTCATTTCAAAAGTAAAATTTCCAATTAAAGGATTTTTTTCCTTTTTTAATAATGTGATCCATCTAACCAAAGTTAAGAAAAAAAAATATTTTGGGTTTGGGTTTGACTCTAACACTATTGCAAATGCAATATTCTGGGACACAGTTTCTGGTATCTAATCATTGAGATCATTAAAGGCAGACCTTCATCTGGAATTAATAACTCAATTTGGGCAATTAGAAAGCATTTGAAGAGTTTCTCTATGCATAAATTACTTGAATTAAACACATGCAACAGATGAGCAACAAGATTACTTTCAGCTAATGTAGTGATTTATCCTGGGGCAAAGGAATTATAATGGCAGAGCAAGTAGTATGGAATATCAAAACACCTATTAAGGAAAAATACACAAACATCAAATGCCCCACAGAAATGCATAGTAAACTCAGACATGCAAATTCAGAAGAGGCTACCATTGGCCCACTTTTAAATTTGTTGCAAACTGTGATGCTCAATTACTGGATAATTTAAAGTGGGGTTAAGTGAAATCTACTTCTACACCTCTATTCTTCTAAAAGACTGAACCATTTATTTTTTATGTGGCCTCTACTGAGTATCTCCTATATTATCCTGGGGGAAAACATGACACTTAATTCCACTATATCAAACAACTGCTAGCAGCAACCACTATTCAAGCACCAAACATTTTATATGGTCTTGTTTGCCTCCTTTTTCATATCCTGATAGTTACCTGATGTGAATCAATATAGGAATTCTAAAATAATGAGTTCATGAGGCCTTCAGAATTTCAAACTTTTTACTTCCTAATGAAAACTTATTGTGTATAATAAATGACTACATTGTACCTTTTTAATATTTTAGTTTTACCTAAAAAGTCTTACCTAAAGTCTTAGTCCATTTAGTTTTGTAATAGCAGTTTTAAGGGTATTATATCCCCTTTAATGATTCTTATCTTGATTACTCAGACATATGAGTTTTTCCCCTACTTAATAGATTTACCTTTCTAAGATATCCAAGGTCTTCACAGAATCCTAAGACCATGTGAATTAGGTGAAAGTCTAAACGTGCTTACCTTCTCTGGACAGGACCCAGAAAAAAACAGGCAGATATGTCCTCAGCTGGATGCCTACAACTCTGAGCCTTTTTGTTTCTATTTAAAAACACACACAAAAGTTAAGAATGAACTCAATAGTGTACGATACTCCTGGATTAGAAAATGACATGCTTTGCCTCCCTCCAGCCAAGCTGAACACTTACCAAATGATGCTGCCTAGTGTCTACTGAATCTTGCATGAACATATCAATGACAAAAAGAGGTTATTTTTAGCAAAAGTGAGGTCATATGGCTTGTGAAATATTTGGTGAGAAAAAGAATCCATCCCAAGGGGGAAAAGGGAAATAAAAAATATATATATATATATATATATACATATGTTGATGGAAATATTGTAAGCACCTCTAATAAGTCTGAAAGGCCAGAAGACCTAGAGGACTGCAAGTGTTAAAAATGTAGGCCCAAAAGAAGCTGCATACTGTTCTCACGTATGACAATCCTGTTTCAATGGTTCTCAATAAAAGACTGCTTTCTCAACATAGATTAAGAAACAACTTTATTTTTCATTTGTCAACCCCATGATTGAAAAGACACATTGCTCCCAAGTAGACAAGAGGCATAATCTGGAACAAAATTTTGAAAATTTAGTTTGTGAAGTTATTACACTGCAAATCAAAGGATCACAAAAAGCTGCAGCCAACATTTAAAACTGGTATAACATTCTACCCAAAGCTTAGTAGCAGAAAGTGTAAAGCTATATCAAAACCATGTCAGCCACAGAAAAGCAACAGAGGCATTAACTGTTGTGCCTTAAACTTAAGCATTTAAAATATCCCATTTCCCATAAAAGAACATTTCCCAGAAAAGAACTGATTTATTTAATCAGAAGGCTATTAGCACTAGAACTAACTCTCCCCTTTCACCTCAGTTCTAGGTTTCCTTTAATACTATCTCTAGCTAATCATTTGACAGAATTTGGCTTCTCAGAAGAGACTGTCATTTAAGCGCAGTGTGGAATGGGAAAAGTGTGTAGTTACAAGGGAACTTAGAGGAGTACAAAAGACAGTTGCTTCTGAAACTCGCTGATGCTTGAGAAATCAGAGACCCTCCATTAAAGTGGGTCTCATATGCCTGAGAGCTTTGTGCTTGAGGAAACACTACTTAGAGGTAGCTCTGGTTCTGGTTTATATTTAATTACAGTTTGCTGTATCCTGTTAGAGGAAAGTTCTAATATTTTCAGCAAAGTATAAGCACTCAATTTCCTCCTGACCCACCCTATAGCTTCCCCATAGAAAAGGGTAAGAAAAAGCTTAATTGTGACTCCACATAATATAGCAGCTAATTCAGCAATTCACTCAACTATGGATTGACAGGACTAGGAAAGGCAACCTGGTGCAACGAGCTCTAAGAGCTAGACCTGCAGAAGTGTGACAGTCTGGTGTGTCTACAGCACACAGGGAGAAGAGGGAAGGGTGAGCAATTAGGGTACACATATGAACAATTTCTTTTATGCATTTCACAGCACATTCTGCCACAGCAACAACAACCAAATCAGGAATGGATTTGACTGTATTCTTTGATTTCAAAGAAGTCTGTGCCCCTCCCCCACTGCCCATCTATACTACATGCAAGAAAGAAAGATCACTATTATTTATTTGAATACAGGGCCTAAGAAGAAATGGGCATGGATGGGTACAAACAGCATATTCTGTAACAAAACACTTTTTGAAAAGATTTATGTAACTTTAAGTATTAAAATGAATGTTTCAGCTCTATATATGTATCACTCTGTAGTCCTTCGGACACATGAATATGGTCATATTTGAAAGAAGACTCAAGCATAAATACTGAATCCAAAGGGCAGTTTTAAGGGAGATACCAACAGTTGCAAATAAACTTACCAGAGTGTCAACCGTTCTACTCTGAACCTCTTTCCTTTACTCAATACCCTGAATGTCAAGTTGAAAGGAATAAAAAGAATCAAATATTCAGACCAAAATGAATTATGTGCCATAAACTATTTAGCATACAGAATATAATTTAAATGATACTGAAAAAATGTCCACTGAAAATTTCAAAGGAGAGCATTCTTCCTCTTTCCCTCTTAAAATAAATCATTAAATACACTGAGTAACTTTATACTGTCATTTTTATCATAATATAAACAATTTCCATCATCCTGAATATTACTTTATAAAGATATATATTTTAAAAGGCTTTCAAAACATTTTTCAACCCAGCATTTGAGAATAAAGCATTAAAGGAGTTTTGTATACAGTAACACATTCATGTGATAAGTGTATGAATTTACAACCATACATAATATATATGTATATATATGTATATTTTATATATATATATAAAAACAAACTTGGCCAGAAGTTAAGGCTACCTACAAAGTTGTCAAAGTAAATTATGCTTGTCAAAATAATTACAAAATGAAAATCATACATGCATTTAAATCCTCTAAACCACTAACAAAATAAGGTTCAGCATTCAAAGTTTTCAAATTAACTGCAAGAAAGTGCTACAGATATTTACATTTCCTTAATAAGTGTTCCCACAGTTACATTTAAATTTTCATCAGCATCAAATGTAATGTAACAAAAACTGAAACTTGTACAATTTGGTACCTGGTACTTTTAAAAGAGAAAAGGTTGCAAATGGCAGGCAGCATCACTTACTGTCTCACACAGCACAGTACAGTTCATAATACTGTTTGACCTGACACATGCTTGAAATTTTAAGCCTCTAGAGGGACTAGGAGTGATCATTTCATTAATAATTACACATATCAGCAACCACATGGATAAAGGTTTCAGGCTTTCCCACTCAAATAATTTAAGCATGGAACAAAATAAAACCAAAATATAAATGACTATTTCAAAACAACTAAGTCATTTCCAACATTTGCCTAAATATTTTACTTAATTTTTTTAAAAAGTATTCTGAATAAATGCCTCTTTTAAAATCAATTTCAGAAAATACATTTATAAATATAACTCAGCCAGAAGGCCTCTGACAGTTTTCAATGAACAGAATTTGCTGAGATGGGAAAAGTCATTTAACTAGCTCATGTATTATTTTAAAAAATAAGCTGGGAGAGCTAAATCTTTTTTATTTTTTTAATTTGGTGAATAATACATTTCCAATTTGGACATCTAAAAATTCTCTCTTTTTTTCATGTTTTCAACCTTGTACACCACGTTTAGGATGAAAATTTTTATCAAATGGTAAAAGAACCAAGATTTTAAAAATTATAATGCTTAATGCTAAGGATGTTTTGTCCCTGTTGAATCAAAAAAGGAAATCCCATTTTAGACTCAATTGAAATTTAGTGTTTTAGGCACTATTTTAATAAAACTAGCACCCTTGAATACTAGCTCAGGCCTAAACAGGTAATTATATTAGATTACTGAAATATTTTTTCTCTTGTAAAAGGGTTTGTTGATATTTAAAGATAAAATTGATTTATTTAATGAATCAGTATTATATTTTGAGCAATTCATAGGTTTTTCATGAGAGCTGATTCACCAAAAGAAAATTATTCCAACTCTCTACAGCAGAGTTCCAACTACAGAATTCAGGCATCAATGAGAAAACGATATTTACTAATACTCAGTGAAATAACAGGTTTTTTAAAATAACTTTAAACATTATATTTCTAAGAGTTTTTTAGGTAACAGCGTCTAAAGAACACAATCTTTAAGATTAATATACAAAATCACCTTAGGGAATTACTGCAAAATGCTTCTATGCCAACATGGCCCAGCATCTGTCTTAGTTCCTTTCCCTTCATCTTTGCTAAATAAACAAAACAAACAAAAAAACTCCTAGAAGGTGAGGCAGATGATTGTCTTCATGCACTCTCTAATGTAGACTGTGGCAGAAGATGAAGAGAACAAAATTACATATTTCAAAAGCCAAACTAGACCACAGAATACTTCCCATTGTTACGATCCAGTGGAATGCAAGCTAGGGATAGGATAGAATTTGGAAATTCGGCTCTGTGTTGATGGGTTAAGGCATTCAGACTCCCCAGTCATTTTAAAGAACACTTCCTGTTCCTGCAGTTTCCTGGCAAATTCTTCTTCCAGTGTCTTAAAAAGGAAGGGAAAAGGAAATTAGGCACTGGTATTTCAAACAGAATTTACTTTGGTGGCCAAGATAAAACTATTTGCCCCAAACCCATTCTCTGTATGTTATCCTACGGAAGACCAGACTGCGCAATAGTTAGGATCAAAGGCTGTGTACAGCCCTAGGTTCAATTCAAGTCTTGGCTCAGCCATACTAATGGCTAACTTGGGTCAATTACTTAACTTCTCTATCTTACAGAATCATTTCATTCTTCTGCTATAAATAGGGAAAACACCACCCACCTCACTGGGCTGCTGTGTGAGGATTAAATGTGATGATGATGTACTTAACACATACTTGGTACTCAGTAGATGGCACCTACTATTATCTGTCACTCCCATGTGACTTACTATTGTCTATTTTTTATTTTGATTATTGATGTGCATGTTTTTTCTACCACACTGGACTATAAATTGTTTAAAGTTAAAACCTAAATCAGATTCAACATTATATCCCCATAATACAGAGCAAATTGAAGTGCTTGCTAAATATCTGAGGTATCAATGACTTTGCAGAAAAGTGATTCAGGGATAAAGTGCTGCTACAGAGGTACAAAGTATAGAAGAAGATGGAAGGATACAAGAAGGTTTCTCAGAAGAAATGAAACATGAATTTAGTCTTGAAGTCAAGATAAGAAATTAATAGACGGGATGGGGAAGGCATGCCAGACAAAGAGCTGAAACAATGCAGAGGCAGGAAACTGCAAAACTGGTTTGAATAACAGTGATTATACCCTATTAGAGGCCTAGTGCACAAATTCGTGCACCAGTGGGGTCCCTTGGCCTGGCCTGCGGGATCGGGCCAAAACCAGCTCTCCAACCGCAATCCCCCAAGATGTACCGGATTGTGAGAGGGCACAGGCCAGGCCGAGGGACCCCACCAGTGCACGATCAGGGCCAGGGAAGGACGCAAGAGGTTGGCCAGACAGGGAGGGACCGCAGGAAGGCTCCAGGGCATGTCCAGCCTATCTCCCTCAGTCAAGATCAGTCCAGCAGCAAGCTAACCTACCGGTCGGAGCATCTGGTGGTCAGTGCACATCATAGTGACTGGCTGACCAGTGGACTATCTGCCCCCGGTGGTCAGTGCATGTCATAGCGAGCTGTTGAGCAGCCTTAGCATATCATTAGCATATTACGCTTTGATTGGTTGAACGGATGACCAGATGACTGGACACTTAGCATATTAGGCTTTTATTATATAGGAAGGAGGATACTGAAACGTAACCTGGGATCAAAGTGGTTAGAGGAAGATGAAGCTAGAAAGGTTGACTGTGGCCAATGTATGGCACTATGAAGGCTTAAAAGTCAGACTGAGCCCTGGCCAGTTTTCTCAATGGTTAGAGCATCTGTCTGTGGATCAAAGGGTCACAGGTTTGATCCCTGACCCCAGGTTCGGGAACGTGAGGAAGGCAACCAATTGATGGGTCTCTCTCACGTTGATGTTTCTCTCTCACATTGATGTTTCTCTCTCACGTGGATATTTGTCTCTCTCTCTCTTCTCCCCTTCACCCTCCCTTACATTGAAAAATCAATGGAAGAAATATCCTCAGGTGAGGATTTTTTTTAAAAAAGTCAGATTGAGGTATTTACATTTTTTTCTGAAAGAACTAAAGATTTATCAGTACCACTATGACAGTATCAGAAATGTTCTTGAGGGTAAATATTCTGGTGATGGTAGGCAAGTAGGAAAAAAGAAAAGAAGCTAGAGACCGGAAGGCCATTAGGACATTATTGAACAATGTTAAGCAAGTAGTAAGATGATAATATGAAAAAAAGAAATATTATGATTGAATGTGGGGTATCATGGAAATAAAAAATAATTCAGGTTTCTAGCCTAGATGTCAAGAGAACAGGAATGTGGGAAGAACATCTGTTGGTGAAGGGACTATGGAGAGAGGGAAAAGGTGAGACATAGATGAAGAAAAAAGGATGTTAAGTTTAGTTTTATCTCCCCTGAGTTTAAAATCTTTAGTCAACATTCAACAGGTGTATAATGACCATTATAATGTGCAGGAACTATTCTAAAAGTTAGGGATGTACCGGTGACCAAGCGATAATGTCCCTGCTTTCAAGGAGCCTACATTCTTGTGAGAGAAGACAAACAATAAACAAATGTATCTTGTGGTGATGAATGCTATGAGGAAAAACAAAGAAAGGTGAGGGTATAGAGAGTGTTTGAGGTGGGTATGGAGTCTATTTTATATATAGCGATCCAAAAAAAGAACCTTTGATGAAATGATATTGGAACAGAGGCCTGAATGAAATGAGGAATGGAACATTCAGGTGGAAAATGGGAGCTCTGAGAATGAACCGATAAAACAATAAACAATCTACACTAATAAAAGACAAAGATGCTAATTGACTGTACCTTTGCTATGCCCAAGCCACGCCCACCAGCCAATCAGAGCAAATATATGCAAATTAACCCAACCAAGATGGCAGCCGGCAGCCACAGAGCTGAAGCATGTAGGAGGCTTGGTTGCCCCAGCGATGGAGGAAGCCAAGCTTACTGCCTGCGGCTGTGGCCTCCGCAAAAGGCAACAAAGTTTCAATTATAGAAGCTAAATAAATCCCAGATACCTGCTTCTAGCCAGCCTCCACTGGGAGCTTGGGTGGCTGGGGGCTGTGGCCAGTCTGCAAACAGCCATCAGCCCCTCACCCAGACTGGCCAGGCACCCCAGCAGGACCCCCCCACCCTGAAGGGGGTGTGGCCAGACTGAAAACGGCCCTCTGCCCCTCACCCAGGCTGGCCAGGCACCCCAGTGGGGACCTCCACCCTGAAGGAGCTGTAGCCAGCCTGCAAAGAGCCATCAGCCACTCACCCAGGCTGGCCAGGCACCCCAGCAGGACCCCCCCCCCCCCACCCTGAAGGGGCTGTGACCAACCTGCAAACAGCCCTCAGCCCCTCACCTAGACTGGCCAGGCACCCCAGCGGGGACCCCCACCCTGAAAGGGCTGTGGCCAGCCTGCAAACAGCCATCAGCCACTCACCCAGGCTGGCCAGGCACCCAGCCTGAAAACGGCCCTCAGCCCCTCACCCAGGCTGACCAGGCACCTCAGCGGGGACCCCCACCCTGAAGAGGGTGTGGCCAGTCTGAAAACGGCCCTCAGCCCCTCACCCAGGCTGGCCAGGCACCCCAGCGGGATCCCCACCCTGATCCGGGACACCATTCAGGGCAAACCAGCTGGCCCCCACCCATGCACCAGGCCTCTATCCTGTATAATAAAAGGGTAACATGCAAATTGACCCTAACAGCAGAGGGACTTGGAATCACTGTTCACTATGACACACACTGACCACCAGGGGGCACACTGGTGGTCAGTGTGCTCCCATGGGGGAGCTCTGCTCAGCCACAAGCCAGGCTGACGGCTGCCAGTACAGCGGTGGTGGTGGGAGCCTCTCCCGCCTCCTCAGCAGCACTAAGGATGTCCAACTGCAGCTAGGCCTGCTCCCCAATGGCAAGTGGACATCCCCCGAGGGCTCCCGGGCTGCCAGAGGGATGTCTGACTGCCAGCTTAGGCCCAATCCCCTAGGGAGCAGGCCGAAGCCAGCAGGTGGTCATCCCCCGAGGGGTCCCAGACTGTGAGAGGGCACAGGCCGGGCTGAGGGACCCTCCCGAGTGCACAAATTTTTGTGCACCGGGCCTCTGGTAATAGCAATAATAACCATTCATTGAACCCTGACCACGCTCAAGTACTGGGACCACTGCTGTGCATGCAGCACTTACTTTAACTGTCTTAACCCCACTAAGATAAATTTTACAAATAAGGAGAACTAGAGTTAGAAATGTTAAATAACAAAATTAATCAGTGTCAACAATGATATTGTAATCCAGATCTGCATGACTTTAGAATTTGTGCTCTATACAACCCCTACTATACAAGTTTTGGGATTGTCCTTAAATATGCAACAGTTGAAGCCATGACTAGCTATGAGGACAGAACTAAGGATGTAAAACTGGGAAATGTTTACACTTCAGGTGCCTGGATGACAAAGAAAAGGTGATAAAGAGCACAAAGAAGAGAGTGTATCACAAAAGTCAGGCAAGAAGAGAATTTTAAGAAACAAGATTTATAATCAGAACAATTAGATAATGTCATAGGACCTGGTTATTACCAACTCACTTGTGACCAGTTAAAGTTCAATTTGGGAGTTTGAAGTGAAAGCTAGACTGCAAAGAGTTAAAAGAAACTAGAGAAAGAGAATTCTCACTGTTTACCCTTCCATGTCTTTTGAATTCTGAACCATATGACTGTATAACCTATTCAAGAATTTAAAAATAAAATTTAAGTTAAAAAGCCACACTATCAACTGACTTGGTCATTTCACTTCCTCTAGAAATGTTAACACATAATAGGTGCTAAATTCATATTACTGTAATTCAGTGATTGGATGAATAGAAGAAAGGAATGGTTGAAATGTACAGCAGGCAAGAAGCCCAAGAGAAAATAAAGCTTTAAGTTTAGAGTTAACAAAGGGAGAGGATCACATAGTGATAACAAGAACTGAATGGTTGACCAACTGGACCAGACTATCAGACAGCCAAGTGCAAATAAGGAAAATGGGTAGGTGGTTAGATAAAGGCAGGGAAGCCATTCCTATTTTATTAAATTGTCAATTTACATAACACCCCATGGCCTTGCAATCTGGCTCCCTGTCAATCTGTCTAGACCAAGCTGTCATTACTTCCTTCTCCCCTTCTCTAATGCCTACACATATGAACACACTCCCCTTATGGGGAGCTACTTATAATTTCTGTACACATTACCTTCAGTCATTTTCTTCTCTGTGCCTAAATTGCCTCGTCCCACCCCAATCTGTCTGTTCACCCAGTAAGCTCTTACTCATCCTTCAAGCCCCTCTTGGCTTACAAGGCATCTCCTCTCAGAAGCTTCCCTGAGTCCCCCACGAAAACCTAAGCACTCCTCCTCCTTGGCTTGCACACTGTGCTCCTCTCCCCTGTATTTTGAACTTAACTCCTTCACTACAGCAATGATCCTACTAATCTGTAATTGCTTGTCACCAGATTCTGAACCTTTGGGGAACAGAGATTTTGTCTCCTCTCCCCTGTATCTCCTGCATCTGACACTCATTAGGTAAAGAGCCAATAGCTGGGAGGATGAGTGGATGGATGGATGGACGGACAGACGGATGCAAACATTTTAATTAAAACTTTTAAAATTACCTTTTTCCTAGGCCTCAATTTCTCTCTCCATTCCTTTAATTCCTGGCTGTGCTCCTCATCTAACTCCTTTAGTTTCTGAGTCTCATGCTCAACCAATAGATGGCATTTTTCATTCTGGAAATAAAGTTTGGGTTAAAAAACTTCAGATCAACAAAGTAACTTTTCACAAATACATTATCTTCCAAAATAATAAATTATTCATCAAACACTAGGCTACTACTGAGGTTCAAATTCTCCTCTAAAAACCAAGAGCCAAGAATTAGGAAATGAGTCATAGCTTCATCTTTGCAAGTTTAGAAGCTAGGTCTATTACCATATGAAAAGAACTTAACTAGGTAGATTAGTTTGATCCTGCTTTTCCTTTCTAAGGTTTACTCATAAAACTGACACTTCAGAAGGCAGCTTGTATACATTTTACCCGTTGTTACCAAAATATAGGATTCAGAAATCTTCCATTCTGGTAAATTAAGCAAATATGTAGCGTATCCAAAATGCATACACTACTCTGAAATTCTAAACATTTTAGGCTATCTACTAGATTGGGTTGCGTATTCCAGGTAAGGTTCAAAAACAGTCCTCTCTAAAGTAATCTTTAAATTTCTTAGGGAAAAATTCTCATATATTTAGTTTATCACCTTTTTCATGAACCTAGAAGAAAATAAGCTATTTCTCCCTAAATGAAATTTCAAATTCAGAATCTGGTAATGAAACTGCTTAGATCATTCTGAAAACTTTGTTCATCTTCTTTGCAAAATATACTAAAAATACTCAATACTACTTTTGAAAGACTCAACTTCTTAGGTTATTTATAATTTAGCTTCATGCTATATTATAGTTACATATAATACAAACAAGTGCCTATGATACTAAAGTGATCTTACTTTCGGTCTGTAATAGGAAACAGATTCCAGCATTTTCATGAGTAAAGTGAAGCTTACTTTGGTTAGCTATTATTTTCCCAAACCCGGTGATGCTCATCTATTACCAGCTTTGTCTTAGAGCTTCCATATCTAACCTGCAGCTGATGCAGCTCTCGGACATTGGCTTCACACTGCAACTGAAGATCCCGCATTTGATTTTCATGTTTTTGATGCTGAGCCATCCTCTCATTTTTCTGCCTCTTTTCTTCTTGAGCAGCAAACTGTAAATAAGAAAAATAAAAGCAAATATGGTTAACAAGCAATGCAATTTCTTTATCTTCCAAAGGTATAATTAAGAAATTTACTAAAGCTTAAAGTACAATAAATTAAAGATGCTTGTAATAATATATTGTGACTCAAGCTGGAGTCTATTTTATGGGGAGGGGAGGACTTCTGATTACAACCTTGTTCCTCCCATCAGCTTAGTGACTGACCTCAGTTAATTTGTGTGTGTGACTTCTGAAATATAGTGAAGCCTTATGTTTTTACTTTAAAAGTTGTCCAAGTCATCTCATTCCCAAGGCTAATTTTAGGACCACTATAATCCAGGACCTGGTGTGGGGCATAGGAGAGAAGGCTCTGCCCTCTGTGGCCATCACCCTAGAAAAACTAAGTTGGTACATGCCATATATCTACCCCCAACCCACAGAGCCAAAGTGAACATCAATAAGTGCAATAAATGTTTACAACACAATCATGTGACCCTTCTAAAAGTCATGCAAATATTCTTAACCTAAAAGAGAAGACAGTAATTTGCTTATTTACCTGTTTAATTTTTTCACGGTCCTGATCTGGTGTAGCCGTTGAGTTAATTCTCAAACTTTTCTTAAACATGGCCATTCGAGTCTTGGCTTCACTACGTTGAATCTTAGGCAGTCTTGCTCTTTCTTGAGTCTGTCTGTTTTTCAATTCCTCAATAAGCCGTTGATTGTAACGCTGCATTTGTTCTGTTTCCTAAGAAAGTTTTAAACAGAATCCAGTTGACGTAGATATAATTTAACACTCAGTGCCCACGCATATGTTCAAACATGCCATTTTGTTGTTGTTTCCCAAAATTACTCTCTCCCTTATTGCATAAAAATCAGCAAAATATTAGCCAAAAAATAACTTCTAGGAAAAATGAAGCTATTAGTAATAAGAGTCTTATGTTGAAGCTCTCTTTTACTAAGTATAGGGAGTCCACACTTTTAAGATACATGAACCACAAATAGAGCCACAATAGCTACTTTTGAGAGAACAAGATGAAGATTATCAAGGCCATTAGGCATTATAATTAGTTACCTTCCATGGAATTTGTAGAAAAGAAGTTTGCAATCATGATCGACATACAATTAATTACTCCAAACTTCATCAAAGACATTTTAGGATAAAATAAAGAAATCTGAAACGCATTCTCTAAGACGTATAAGTTTCAAAAATGAAATCCTCATTCTGCAAACTTTAAAATGAACAAAAAAGTAAATAAATTTTCCTTTCATTAACCTTCTCATGGCGCTTCAGTAACTGATGTCTTTGCATGAAATACTGATCTTTAAGTTGCTGTTTGAGCAGCTGGTGTTTTTCTTGTAAGTGTCGTTCTTCAAGCTCCCAAATTGCAGCTTCTCGAGCTAGAAAGAAGAAAGCAATTTTCAAAATGTCATTTTGATCTTTTTACTAATGTACTTTGGATTTCATTTTTTTACATAAATTTACATAAAAGTTATCTATATACACTTACATACAAGCTGACATTCTGAGCTATAAATAAAATATTACCAATGTAAAGATAACATCTATTACTACTTTCAGTTCTGTTCTAATGTCCTATAACAGAGAATGCCACACCCCCAAAACCAAAATTCTATTTAATCATCTTCATGAGAAATTAAAAAAAAAAAATCTAAGCTATTACTTAGGGGAAATAAGTGGTTAAAATCCCGTTCTATCATGTAGCCATTAAGTATACCAACAATTATAAGACATAATGAGTATGTAAAATTATTCAGGTACATTTCTAGCATCATCTGGACAAAAAGATGTTTTAAGGAATATATTTATTTTCACTTGAACTGTCATAACGGAATTCTATAACTCACAGTATTTTATAAATTTTTTCCTCTTATTTACCTCAACTTTATCTATCCCTATACCACTCTAGCAAAGGAAAGCATTCAAATAATTTTCAAGGTATAGCTCCGCAATGTTTTTGAGATATCATTTTATAGGTACACATATGCTGCATAATTTCATATACCTCTCATGAGTTGCTGCTTGTTATTCAGGCACTCCCTCTCAATATTGGCTAACTCTGCCTTCTGCTGCTGGATGATCTTTTTCAGAGAGCCATCTAATTCTTGTTGTTGCTTCTGAACAAACTCTTGTTCCTATTAGACATAGTTAACCATCAGTTAAGACGTATTTACTGAGCAAAACATCCATTTATCTGTATGACTGTATATATTAGTGGTTATCAAGATTTCTAAACCAAGTTTCTAAAGTTAGTGAAATTTTTTAAATACCAAGATTACATAGAGTATAAATGTATTAGTCACCCAATTCAAGCCTATGAAAAAAGTACTAGAATACATAATATTCTAAACTCATCATTAAGACTAACACATACAAAAGAAGTCTATTATCCACTCATAATTAAAATGCCCTGTTACACTGGCAACTTTGGGAAAATAATAAATTTACATCTTCTAAAACTGACTATCCATTCCAGTATGGTGTAGATAAAACAAGAACAAACAAGAAATGCCTTTTGGAAAGAAAGGCCATGAACAGCAGATAAATAAAACAGATGTCAGAATTTTAAACACGATTTTTCTGACAAACAAAGAGTTAGGAAGAAATACCATGTCTATACTAACAGAGAAAGACAGTTTCTGTGTCAACAGCCTGTGCTTAAAAAGAACAATAGTTTGAGGACTTAATAAGAAATAAGTGCATTGCTAGAGAAATGTGAACTAGGAATAGGAAAGTGAAGCTACATTTATAAATCTATAAACAAAATTCCTTATAATCAGAGAACTCTTCTAACATGTTTGGGATTCACTCACTCATCCAAAAAATATTTACTGAGTACATACTATGTATGTAAATACCAAATTTATGCTTTAAAAATACCCTTTGGTTACTGTGTAAGAAAGGATAAAGTGAATTATGATCTTTATGCTAGAACATACATTTACATAAGAAAAGGAACAATATCCAAATTGAAGGAATGTAAATTTTGCCCAGGAAATGTTTGGATTTCTACCCCTCTCTTGGCAGTTAGAGCAGTTTGTGATTAGCTCAAGGGATATTCTGATCAATATGAGTGTAGATTTAAAAATTTAGTGTTGAAGCACCATTTCACCTATAATTCCTCCTCTTGCACATCCTAGAGAAGATAAAACCCTAACCCTAATTTTTGGGCCTCAAACAGAGTCTCATAGATCTAAATCACAACCAGCCTGGCTTCAATGCACAAAGAACAAGTCTAGCAGTGCTCCTCAAGTCCTTGCCTTACTACTGTCCCTGGAGGTGAGGATCAGGTCTTACCATTCATGACATCCTGTAATTCGGAGTCACAAAAGCTACTATCTCATCTGCATCATAATTTGTATTTTAGCAAAAATACAAATATACAGTAGCAAAAAGACTAATGAATTGCCTCTATAAATAAAATTGTCAACTTGACTACAGATACTTATATAACTTTATCACAGCAAAAAATAAATAAAACTAAATATTTAAATTCAACTATATAGAATAAGGTCTTTTGAGTTTTATTTAAAGAGATGCAAAATTTCCAAGCCTATCTTTTAAACAGTTACAACAAAGAAAGTTGTTCAAGCTTCTCTTTGTCCTACAGTAAATATCACTTGTAATAAAAATTAAATTGTTTCTCTAATTTCATTATAAAATTTCTATATGCAAACTTATTAAATAAACCTACATTAGCTGGCAGACATATCAAAGGGTTTTCTTTTGTTCAACATTATTTGTCATTGGTTTGCATAAAAAACTTTAAAAAAATGTGTGTGATCCTGGCCAGGTAGCTCAGTTGGTTGGAGCGACGTCCCGTACCAGGAGGCAACCAATCAATGTCTCTGTGTCTCTCTTTCTCTCTCTCTCCTCTCTTCTCTCTCTCTCTCTCTCTCTCTCTCTCTCTCTCTCTCTCTCTCTCTCTCTTCCTCTCTAAAAATCAACAAAAAGACATATCCTCAGGTGAGGACAAAAAAAAAATATTTATGTGTGATGGGTCCAAATTAACTAGCATAAATATAAATATTACATTTAGGCTCAAAAATATCAAGTGCAAAAATACAAGATGGGGCAAATACGTATTTATTTATACGCATTTATATTGAAAATTAAAAAGGTATATACAAATCAGTGCCACTCAAACGCAATTTTTTGTCAATGCCAATTTTGGTCACATTACTATTATATATTTATGTCTAGATAAACAATATATGAATTCTATTAAAAGAAAACCTTTAAGTAAGCAGTGAGCCCCTTCTCTTAGTATTACACGTTCAAAAGTTCAACAGTAGCCTTAGCCAGTTTGGCTCAGTGGATAGAGTGTTAGCCCTCAAACTGAAGGGTCTCGGGTTCAATTCCAGTCAAGGGCATGTACCTGGGTTGCAGACTCGATCCCTGGCCCCAATCAGGAAACATGCGGGGGCAACCAATTGATGTGTCTCTCTCACATCAATATTTCTCTCTGTGTGTCTCTCCCCCTCCCTTTCACGCTAAAAATCAATGGAAAAATATCCTCAGGTGAGGATTAACAACAACAACAAAAAGCAGGCAGAACTAGCATTGCTCTGCTCCAGAAGGTAAAATACAGGACCAATAGGAAAGAGTCAAGGTAGGCAATATATGGCAGTGCTTCCTAATAACTAGTTAGCAAAAACACCAGCTGCCTTACAGAGCTATGAACCTGAATAATTAAGCAGAGTCTGAATGATTACACAGTCAAGAATAATGCTTGGATAATTGTTTACATTAAAGCTAAAAATTACCTGAAAGGTCTTTTACATACTAATTAATATATTTTATTACCTCAAAAGAAATGAAATTTTAATATTATTGAGCTTTCATTAAATTTCCTTACTCCATAAGCCAAGTACAATATGTTCACAATGGAATTTTTTAGTTAGAAATTACTCTTAGGCTCTAAATGAAAACTGATGTTATATTCCAAAAAGACTGTACAAATTACATTCATCCAATAAAAAAATTGAGATCAATCTGATCACTGGAAGTAAATACTTTTTAAAAGGACACATAAATTGTAAAATGAGTGCCCATTAAATGTACAAGTTTGAATTTGGTAAGTAATTTTAATTTTATCATATTCATCAGATATCTATGAACATGAAAAATACAACTCTGTGTTTTAGAAAACTGTAAGAAAGGGTTATAATATATTGGGCTATTTGTACAGAATTTGATCATTTTAACGCAAAAGAAAAGCTAAAAATGGTAATGATCAGAAAAGTGATCGTAATTCATAATTTCTCCCTCTCGTTAAAAAAATTAATGTTTTTTTTACTCTTTTAGAAAACTATAGAGTCCAACAGCTACCAATAAAAATAAATTAGTCTAATTTCAGGAGAGGGGAAAGAGGGGGTTGAAATCAAGCTGTATTCTATCTACTCCAGTTGTATATATCAAACGTAACAAACAAAAATTAGAGTGTTAAATGAGCTAGTCACTCCCTATAGAAACTGTGAGAAAGAATACAGCCTAGAATTCCAGACTTAATTTAAAACTACAAGAAGAATAGCAATTCACTATTCATTATGGAAAATTGAATAGTGAAAACTAGAGTTAAATGGAACTACAATCACCACTTTTAATTATGTCTTTTCTGACCATATCCATAATTAAAACAGCTACATAAATATATATGCAATCAAAATGTCACTTCACACAAAGATAAAAATCTAACCACAGCATTCAACTTCTCACATGTGCAAAGTTCATAAAATACTATTGGGAAGATATTTCTTAAAAATATGAAAATCTCAAATTAAAAATTGTGGTGGGGTAGATAGAAAAAGAACACTGTATTAGAAGTGTTCTAGTTCTAATCTCTTAGTGACTTTAGGCAGATCACTTAGACTTCTGAACCTTGATTTCTTCATCTGTAAAATGAATACACTCCATCCCTACATTAGGGTGGTGGCAGTGAGAATAAAATGTGAAAACTCTGAAGAATACTGTACTAAAAGTCATGTCAAGTTATTAGTTATTGTCATTACTGACATTATCATCTATCAGTCTTCTAAGGTTTTAACAAATAAAGCTAACAATGAAAAGGCACATGTGAGCCAAAGAAAAAGCAGGTAAAACAGGAGAAGGCATCCTCCTACAGGCACGCGGGACTTACGTCCTGCATTTGGGCGTTGAAGACTGCACAAGATGACAACTGAAAAGACTGAATCATGGCCTGAGCAAGACCCTGTGGATCAGAATACAATGCACCTCCCAGGTGAGAATATAGCTGAATGACTATTTATAAATGGAAAAAAATAATTATACAAATGTTGAGTTTCTTGAGGCGTGAAACAGAGGGGCCTCTTTCTCCTCTGTAAAATGAAGGATTTGAACTAGATCAATGGTTTCCAAACTCTTGCTGGCATTTTTTTAAAATCAGTCAAGCCCTCTTTTAAAAAACTCACCAAAAATACATAAAATTTATAAAACAGATAAAGTGGTGCTGCATGAGTTGAAGTGGAAGCAGGGGCCGAGAGCCCCAAAGTCCTCACTTTTTGAAGGATTCTCAAGGTACTTCTTCTAAACTCAAGAGCTACTGGAGGCTCAGTCTGAAAACCACTGAACCAGATGATCAAATACATTCTAGCTCCATGAATATATGGCTATTATTTATAAACACTCAAAAAAAGTTTAAAATAGACTCTGTAATCAAGTCTTAGCACCTTCATTAAAAGCAGTAGCTAAAGAGAAATACTTTTGAAATTTGTTTTACTAAATTCTTCATTAAATTTACAAAAATAATTACTTTCAGCTTTCATCGGAAAATATAGTCTAACACACAAAATTATATGAATAATCACCAACAAAGTTTTACTAAAGTATAGGATGACCTAATTCATTCAATGCTAAATTCTCAATTTCAACTCTATAATCTGATATATTATCCTTTGGAATTTAAAAAGTTTACATTCCTTTACAAGGCAAAAACTGTATTATTATTATTATCTGATTTAAAATCCAAATTACTCAAAAACGTACAACCAGCAAGGACTTCCCTTCCACCTAATAACAAGAAATGGCCAACAACCACTAAGCTAAGCTGCTAAGATTTTATATTTGGCACAAAAAGGGTAGCTTAAATATGAGAGGCAGTAAGTATGTTATGGTGGTTCAATGTGGAACTAAACTTGGCTAGACAAGTATTCTGGTTCTACCATTAACCAGATGTGTGATCTTAGAAAAGTCACTCAACTTTCCTGTGCTTTTAGTTTCCTCACTGTAGGATGGAGATAATAAGAGAAACTACTTCATATATTGTGAGGAGAAATGAGTTTATACAGGTAAAGCATTTAGAACAGTGCTTGATACATAGTAAATGCTATGTTTGCTATTTAGTGATCTCCAAACCAGTCAAAAGAAAACTTTTTACTATTAAAATTTTTAATCTGAGATATTTATTCTTTTTTATGGTATTAAAATAGTCTCTCCTTTGAAATGATGGTGACAAGTAAATGACAGTTTTAAAATATCCTTACTTGGCAAAAATAAAATTTTAATGGCAATCCATTTGTCATGGTCCCCAGTGTTTTTTGGTTATATTTTGTGTTCCTTTTCATGGGTCTATAAAGTTTAAAAGTCTGGGAACCACTTTTGAAATTACATAAAACCACATTTAAAAGATAATATAAAGCAACAGTTAATATATAATCCATGTCTCTTCTTCCTTTCATTGACATATTAACTATAAATTGAACTCACTTTTCTTTGCCTCCAAGCTGAGTGCAAACTTAATTAAAAGAAAAATGATTCCTTGTAGAGTCACATGAAATTCTATATAAGAATATATTGAAAATACTAATTTATCTAATTTAATAAAGAATTCACTCATCTTAATTGGCTCAGCCTTATATCCTAGAATCAAATTTATATGGGTAAAAATAGTCTATTTTTTTAACTGCTAGATTCTGAGTCAAAAAGAAAAACAACAGACTTATATTTAAAATTAGGCTCAGCCGATATGGCTCAGTAGTTGAATACAGACCTATGAACCAGGAGGTCACGGTTTGATTCCTGGTCAGGGCACATGCCCGGGTTGCGAGCTCGATCCCCAGCATGGAGCATATTAGCAACTTAAATGTCACCATTAGTGTGCCTTTAGTACTACATAAGAATGCCCTGGGAACCTTTGTATGACATACAAAGTCAATAACATAATAATTACATTTAGAAATTACCCTTTCAACCATGGTTTACTGAGCTGTTAGAATAATGCTGCTTTCTGTTTTTAGTAGCATTAAGCTGCTGCTGTTACCTGAGCATGCTGGGTTTGTGCAAGCTCCTCTTTCCTGCGTTTCATGAGCTCTTTTCTCAGCTCTTTGGGTGCACTCTCCACTTCATTTATAACCTACAGTGTATAAGCATGCAGGAGGTGGGGAAATACTTTCTCCACAGCAAGCATTTATGTGAGCAAACTACAAGTCAAATATTAAAGCTGTTAAAAAGTTGAACATGCATTAGCATAGGTATTAGTTTGGTGAAAAAGAAAAAGGACAGAACATGCTTAATCTCAGTGCAGAAAAGGGACATTATGCCATGTAGAAGGTAATTAGTTGCTTAATTATCCCTACGTATCATTCCCTCTAAAGACCCAAAGACAATCAATAAAGGATTACTTACAGTACTGATGCTGAACTAAGATAATTAACTCAACTGACCTTCTTGAAAGATCATAAAATTATATCTATTGACACTGTTTGAAATATTGGGCATAAGGAAAGCTAATGCCCCTTATAAAAGTGAAACATTTCATAATTAGCTTGATAATTTTAAATAAAATCCACTAAATGAGATCAAAAGAACAACAGGGTAAGTAAGCCTTAGGACACACAAAGGAGAAATAAATGGATACTACATTTTCTTTTTTTTATAAAACACACCATTTTATACACGGTGTGATAAAAATAAATATATCTGACACTTTTGAGTTGGATTAAAATAACATTCTCCTTTGCTGACAATTTAAGCCAAACTTAATTGTCAAGTTTAAAATCAGTAATATAAGCCCTCATAAAATAAGTTTAATTTGCTATGATTTATTATACCCAATAAAACATATCATAAAATGAAGTATAATTTAGAGTTCTTTCTTTTAAATCATTTCAAAATTCTAGCTATGTATTCCACCTAAAAACAGACCTATAATCCAACTATGAAAAATGATCATGTATTTACACAAGTAAAAGCACCAAAAGCAACCAGATTCCAAATCACCACATGCTGTTGATGGTTTGTGAAAGAGACTGATTTTGATTTAACAGGGTATTTAAAATTTCCCATCAGTAATTCCTCATGAAACCAAATCACCATTAAAGGAAGAGACTCCCCAAATGCAAGAAGTTTAGTGATAAGGAAAAAAAATACATAATATAATTATTTAAAATATGCATTATCATGATCTCAAACATATTCACTGGCTAAAATTCCCTTACCCAAAACAGTAACAATAACTAGAGACTCATGTATTTAGGATTAAATCACATTATTTACCTGTAAAATTTTATTTATTTAATTTGCTAGTAAAAATAAACTCTCACCCAGCTGGTATGGCTCAGAGGTTGAGCATCTACCTATGAACCAGGAGGTCACGGTTTGATTCCTAGTCAGGATACATGCCCAGGTTGTGGGCTTGATCCCCAGTAGGCAAGAGGCAGCTGATCAATGATTCTCTCTCATCATTGATGTTTCTATCTCCCTCTCCCTTCCACTCTGAAATGAAAAAATATATATATTTTTAAATAACCTCTCAATGAAAACTACCCACGGTTTCAAGAGAATTAACATGTAGCCTCAGTAAAAGTCATACACCATGATATACAAAGCCATTTTATGTAAAATATGTGACAAAACAGTAATTTTTAGAAATGATAGCCACATCAAATAAAATTATATACCATTTCATTCACCTTTACCTAAAGAAATCATTGAAGACACTATATTTATTAATGTTTGATTCTTTCCTTTTTAAAGTAGATCCTCAAGTTCAGCAATATAATGTTCAATTTTCTGCATAATTTAAATGTTAAAGTCAATGGAGCTGGGTATTTGAAACATACAAAAGTGAAAATGCATTCACTAGTTTGGTTGAGATGTTTTGGTTCCATCCTAATAGATATATCATAATTATTGTTCCTGGGTCCTTTATAATCATGAAAAGGTACTTCTCCTCCTACACTGAAGGTACAGAATAAATCATAAAATTATCTCTTAAAGCTGCTAATATATAAAGCTCTCTTAGTCTGGGGAGAAAAAGACATACTAATCCAATATATAAGTCTTCTTTCTCAATCAATGACAATCTTACACACCACAAACAAGATTCTACCGCAATATGGAATAGTTTCAGGAAAAATGAAAAAATTCATCCTATTCAAATGATTTTACAGATGTTTTCTACCTTTGATTCTTCAAAGTATCTCACAATTTGATGAATTTGAATTTCAGATTATTTAGCTTTTGTTTCGGTACAATGTCAAAGAGAGGCAATTAACTTAATAAAAAGAATATTTTAAGTATGAATTAAATATATTATTGCCTCCTACAAACATAACACTAAGTTTTCTTGAAAAAATACTTCTGTAATAGGCCTTAAATGTTGTATTAATAAAAGAGAAATGATAATTTGGAAGAAAAATGAAGACTTGGTTCAACGTGTAGCTGGATACTTACTGGCAGATTGTGAACTTGAATAGGCCATTAAAACCTCTTCTACTCCAGCCTCCTGAGCAGTAAAATGGGTTAACACCTGACCTTACTACTAACCTACATGACTGTTGGGAAGATAACAAAAAAAAAAGAGTCCTATTTAACTAATAAAAGTAGCTTGAATAATTAAAAACAGTAGTTACACTTACCTCCTTTTTTCGGTTCTTCAATATATTCTGAAATTTGGACAATTCTCTCTCTTGTTCTCCTTTAATGCGTTTGGCTTCATCTCGCAAGCGATTTGTGTGTTCTTGTTCTAGACGTTCAATAGTCTGTTTCTGCTGTTTTTCTAGATTCTCAATTTCTTGGTCATATTGTCGCTTTTTGCTCTGTAAAACAATGTAGCTCAAGATCATTTTATTTTTCTTTCTTTTTTTTTCTTTCCATGAGAACTGTCTTTTCCTGAAATGTTGCAGATCGGTTACAGCAAACAGAACGGCGACCGTCAAGGAAAACTGTCACTCTGGGCTCCTTTTTGACCGCAGCAGCTACGTGGAAGCAGCTGCAGCTTCAATAAGGGCCACCATTTTATTTTTCTATCACTCATATTAACTATTATAATGAAGATGTTTACTAAGAGGACATAACTAGCATTTTAATTTATATGTAATGAATATAACCTTTGTAGTACTGAACAAGTCAAATGAACTAAAATATATAATTTTTCAAAAAGTCATGCATTTCTTTTCTTCTAACATGGAAAATAAATACAGTTGACCCCTAAGTAGGTTTGAATTGTACAGGTCCACTCATATACAGATTCTTTTTTTTCAATAAATATACAGTTGGCCCTCTGTATCCCTGGGTTTCACATCTGCACATTCAACCAATCACAAATTGAAAACAGTATTTTCAACCCATGGTTGGGAATCCATGGATGCAAAGGCCTATTGTATGCATTGTTCTATATCTTCAGATTTTGGTATCCATGGGGGGGGGGGGGGGGGGCGGTCCTGAAACCAATCCTCCACAGATACCCAGGGACAACTGCAGTTAGGTTTTTAAGAAGTTACAAGTTAAACATGGATTTTCTACTGCACAAGGGAAGGGGCAGGGCTGCAGGTTCATGCCCCTAAAACCCTGCACTGTTCAAGGGTCAACTGTACATTTTTCTATTATACAAGCAGTAGAATGTTGCAAATTTTTAGAGAATCCAGGAGAATATCCAATTGCTATGAAGTACTAAAGTAAAAAATATATATTTATACAATACTAGAGGCCCGGTGCATGAAATTTGTGCGGGGGGGGGGGGGGGAGGAGGGGGTGTTCCTCAGCCCGGCCTGCAACCTCTCCATTGTGGGACCCCTTGGGGGATGTCCGACTGCCAGTTTAGGCCCCATCCCGGCAGTCGAACATCCCTCTTGCAATCTGGGACCACTGGCTCCTAACCGCTCACCTGCCTGCCTGCCTGCCTGATCGCCCCTAACCATTCTACCTGCCTGCCTGATCACCCTTAACTGCCTCTGCTTGCCAGCCTGATCGCCCCCTAAATGCTCCCCTGCCAGCCTGATCACTCCTAACCACCTCTGCCTTGGCTCCGCCACTGTGGCTTTGTCCAGAAGCTGTCCAGTCGACCCAGTCTAATTAGCATAATACCCTTTTATTAGTATAACTAGAGGCCCAGTGCACAAAAATTTGTGCACTCAGGAGGGTCCCTCAGCCCGGCCTGTGCCCTCTTGCAGTCTCTGGGAATCCTCAGGGGATGACCACCTGCTGGCTTAAGCCCGCTCTCCGGGGGACTGGGCCTACGCTGGCAGTCAGGCATCCCTCTGGCAGCCCGGGAGCCCTCGGGGGATGTCCACTTGCCAGTGGGGAGCAGGCCTAGCTGCAGTTGGACATCCTTAGTGCTGCTGAGGAGGCGGGAGAGGCTCCCACCACCACCGCTGTACTGGCAGCCGTCAGCCTGGCCTGTGGCTGAGCAGAGCTCCACCGTGGGAGCACACTGACCACCAGGGGCAGCTCCTGCATTGAGCATCTGCCCCCTGGTGGTCAGTGTGTGTCATAGTGACTATTCCCAGTCTTTCTGCTGTTAGGGTCAGTTTGCTATTTACCCTTTTATTATATAGGATAGAGGCCTGGTGCATGGGTGGGAGCCGGCTGGTTTGCCCTTCAGGGTGAGGGTCCCCACTAGGGTGCCACTGGGGTGCCTGGCCAGCCTGGGTGAAAAGCTGATGGCTGTTTGCAGCTGGTCACACCCCTTCAGCGTGGGGGTCCCCACTGGGGTGCCTGGCCAGCCTGGGCGAGGGGCTGATGGCTGTTTACAGGCTGGTCAAGCCCCCAACCCAGTGGGGACCCTTACCCCATGGAGGTTTGGCCAGCCTGGATGAGGGGCCAATGGCTGTTTGCAGGCTGGCCACACCCCCTTTAGGGTGGGAGGTCCCCACTGGGGTGCCTGGCCAGTCTGAGTGAGGGGCTGAGGGCCATTTTCAGGCTGGCCAAGCCTCCCCGGCAATGGAAGCTCCCAGCCTCTCTCTCTTTTTTTTTTTTTCTGGGATTTATTTACCTTCTATAATTGAAACTTTGTAGCCTGGAGTGGAGCTCAGAGCCTGGCCAGGGCTTGGCTTCCTCCATCACCAGGGGCAACCCAAGGCTCCAGCTCCGTGGCCACAGCCAGCTGAAAGCAGGTAACTGGGGTTTATTTATCTTCTATAATTGAAACTTTGTTGCTTTGAGTGGAGCTCAGAGCCAGCCGTGGCCGGAAAGCTTGGCTTCCTCCATCATTGGGGCAACCAAGCCTCCTGCTTGCTCCAGCTCCATGGCTGCCAGCCGCCATCTTGGTTGGGTTAATTTGCATATAGTCACTCTGATTGGCTGGTGGGTGAGGCTAAGGCGTAGCGAAGGTACGGTCAATTTGCATGTTTGTCTTTCATTAGTGTAGATGTTTGATAAATCAAAGGTCTTATCTGAAGTCTATTTTAATTATGTACCATTGTCATTTTCAGATTTACCCTCCTTCATTAATTTCTTAAAATAATCATCTTATATCATTGAAACAAATCTTTTGGAATTATAAATCTACGTTTTCAACAAAAGATTGCTGCTTATATAAAACTTGAGTAACATTGCAATTTTGGATAAGAGAGTTAAATATTTGTAAAGGGTGTTTTCTTTAACATATTAAAAAGCAAAACATTCTGAAAAATATCTGGGGGGAAAAAGAAACACAGCTTTTATAAGGTTCTGGAAAATAGAATATAAGTACTATAAAAATACTCAGTAAGAAAAAAAGTTCATTATTTTCTTAGGAATTCTGTTATGATCCAACAAATGTAATCAATAATACTGCACTTCACACAAAACAATTCTTAGCACTTACAAAAACAGCAAAAGAACTATGTTTAAAGCATAAACACTGTAACATTTCAAATTATCCTTTTTCTAACCTACATTAAGCTAGATGTTCAACATAAGTTATCAAAATGTTTTACCACATTACTAATTCCTTTTGTAACTTTGGGCACAAGGTTAAACCAAGAGTCAGTTACAATTACCCTTGACTAATCAGCACTAATTTATCTAGCAGCTGTGAATTGCCAGAGAAGTAAGTTTGTTTTGAAAAAGCCCCCAAGAAGTTCTAATACTCAGCAAGGTTTAAAGATAACTGTTCTAGACTGGCTTAAAATCTTGGATTCCAAATCTGAGGTCAAACTGTAACAATGAAAAATGATCCAGCAATAGGCACACCAAAGAACTTTGTAAACCATCTTCATGATTCCAGGTTTTCACGACGGATTTTAATCAAGGAAAAATGAGGACACCGATTACACTCTAAGTCAGTGATAGGAAGACTAGAATGGACCCTTTGGGGCAAAAATACATCATAAAGTCAGAAAAATCTAGTCATCAGAGAACAAGATCTAAAACCACTAGTGGGTTTTTTCTTAAAGCATCGAATTTCATAATTAACAAAATGGTACAAGTATTTAAGACTTTACCATCATTTCTTGCTCAAAGCGCCGGAAGATTTGCTCTCGCTGCTGCTGCAGTTTGCTATTGAGCTGTTGTTGGGCTCTTTGCTCTTCTTTTTGAAGAAATCTTAATTCCCGAAGTTCCTGGCGTCTGAATAAAATGTCATAGTGATGATAGAGACAGAAAGCAAAAGTTACACCTTTGAAATAATGCTTTTAGAAAAAAAAACTTTAAAAGTAATTTTTTTCAAACATAAAAGTAATAAAAGAATGGTCCAAAATTAGCCAAGTCTTTATTCCCTTCTCTAGTCTTCAGCCTTTGCAGAGACTAAAAAGAAGTCATAAAACCAGTTTTAATTATGTTGTTCTCTACTCACCTAAGAAACCTCAATTCTTCAGTTTTGGAATCACTATCTGTAACTATCTTTGATGTTGTTACACTCACTTCTACACCATCAACAATAAATTTGCGTGTTTTCTTCAATGTTTTCTTTTGTCTTCTTGTTTCCTGAGTGAGATTTTATTTTAGTTAGGCTTTATATGAGCAATACGAGATAGAAAGCATTTTTCTTCTTTAAAAAAAAAAAAACTGAACAGCCATTAAGACTACACATATAAAGAATATAAAGCAGTAAGACTCACATGTAGAACCAGTTACATCATCTTATACCTCATTTGGCTTTCACATGACTTTACAGATGAAATCTAAATTTTTTCAAGTGGAAGTATGACTTCATGATGTGCATGTATAATTTTTATGATACCACATCATAATCAGATAAGGATTCTTACAGTGGTAAGGATCAATTTACCTAAGTGACTAATTAGTGTAACTTTTACATGTTAACCATTATTTTTTCTTCCTCTTTTCACCTCGTAGGTGCTCAGATACCTCTGCTTTCAGTTCTAGAACCACTGACAAAACAAAATTGAATTTCTGGGGCTCAGCCCTTAAAGACTCTAAATCAATAGGGTTAAGGATAGCTGGGAATTTGTATTTTGAAAAGGCTCCCAGGTAATTTTTAAACCCTGCCAGGACTAGGAATCAAAAGCTATTTCATCAGCAACAATATCAACAGCTCTGCTCTCCATTTCAGGGCTGGAAATGAATGTGTGATTTTAGAGTTACTAGCAAGATAGCACCCTCTACTGCACCTCAAAAGAACCATATTTGCCCACTAGCTATTGCCTAGCATTCTTTTTTTTTTTTCCAAACTAAAAGAGAAAGTTTATTTACAAAGATACAAAGGTAGTAGAAGTGAGCCAGTGGACTGCTAAGCTCAGGAAACAAGTTACAGAGGCAGAGGGTCCTTGGAGCTTAGGAGAGGGACAGAGAAAGGTAACATGCCTGGAGGGAAACCCGAGAGGGAGAACTGCCTACCACTCTTTATTAAGACCAAACTCTTAAAAAAAAAAAAGACCAAATTCTTGATTCCTCAACTGATATCCAAATGTTTTTTAAATGTAAACAAATAATAGAAGTATAACACTCCTACAAATACATAAACATGGTAAAAATACAAATATTGAGAGCAGATAATTACTAGGTTTTGATATGGGGGAAAGCTTAGAAAGCAGAGGGAGCAAAAGTAGAATGTGAAAATACTAAACTCAAAATGCATTAGAATTTTAAACTGTCTTTGTCACTTTCCAGTCACCTTTTTGCAATCCCTTTATTGTTCTATTCTCCAGGCTTCCAGTTTCCTCTCCTCCGCATAAGCACCCTAACCAGGCTTCCTCTAAAATCTAAAGTGGGCTTGCCCCCCCAAAACAGATCTACATCCCCATAACCTCCAAACTTTCCATTTCTTCAGATCCTAAAATATCCATAATTAACATGACCTTAATTCTCAAAATATTTGCATTTTAAAAAAATTAGTATATTTTTATAGTGTAACTTAAAAAGTTACCATACATAGTTACATTACTCAGTAAGTCAGTGAATGGACTTCTGATTAATAGAATTTCAGTCAGTGAAACAAAATAAACTGAAGACAATCTAGGCAAGGCGTAATAATCTGGGGCAGATAGGCAGGCTGACTAGTCATGCCCTAGTCTTGTCCCTAAGGTCGGTTTTTCTAAGTTGTTTCTGCTTTTCACAGTTTTGTCTTCTGCTACCTGTCAACCCAAACTCTTTGTCCACAGTTCACCTGCATCAAAATTCCATGGGGTCTTTTGTTACAAATACTGATTCTTGGGCCCCACTCCATACTCCTGCATAGCTCCCCTCTGCTAAGTCTTAAGCACACTAATATTTAGGAGCTGCAAGTGTTCTGGGTTTTAGTTTTGTTTGTTTTCCCACAATGGTTTTCATGGCAGTAGTGATGGCTATGACTGAGGAAGAAGCAACAGTGGTCATCTGTGTGGGCCAGTGGTAAATCAAGGACTGTTTACACCCTAAACGTGCTTTAAAAAAGATCATTCTTTCTCAATTCTCTCATATACTATTGATTCTTGCTAAAATAGTATCTACCTATGTACAATAAGAGAACCCAAATCACACTAAGCAATAATATATACTGCTTATATCAAGTTGGCAAAAATAAGTAGGTACTACCAAAAAACTTAAAGGTCACATCCACAACTTCTCTCCTTGGTTCTGTTAATTGATTGCCTTTGTAGGCCTTAAGTATTTTATAGGAGAAATAAATACTACACTGATTTAGTGCTGCCTTATTTTCAAGACATCAGTTTCACATAAACTCTAAAACTGCCAAAATGACAAAGAAAAACCCAAACAAGGACCCATGTACACTTACTTGTAAAGATATTGATCCACTGTCTTTAGTTTTGCTTAGGAAGCTAGAAATAGATAAATTCAAGTCAATGCTGCTATTATCAGCAGAACCAGTGCCTGAATCAGTATCATTTTCCTTTTGAATCTCAGATTCTGGTAGCAACATGGTTTCAATTTTTGATAAAGCACCTATTTCCCCTTTATTTTCTGCACCATCAGAGTTGATATTAATACTAGGTATTGGAACAGGCTGAGGTTCACTGGGCTGTGAAGTGGCAGTAAAGTCAGGTTCTGTTTTAATTGGCACTTCACGTGGAATCTCTTTTTGCTCTGATTCTGTCAGAGTAGTGGCTTCATGAGCATCCTGTGTTTCACTTCCTGAAGCCTTTTCGTCAGTATGAATCACTGCACTTCTGACTTCTATTTCTTCAGTGCTACTTGACTCAGTAATTTCAACTTCATTTGTCCTGGGTTCCTCAGTGGTCTCCACTATGTTCTCGGAACTGCTGATTAACTGTTTCTCGCCTTTGCCTTCTATAGATTTTTTATCTATCTCATTAGTTTCAACTATTTCTCTAAGAGAAACTTCCTCAGTACCACCAACCTCAGGACCCTCCATGGGTCTACTTGCTAATTCCTGACCTGCTTCAACCATTTCTTTCCCATCATTACTCTGAGCGTCCTTAGCTTTGTTTTCAACTGCCTTCTGAGCAACATCTACGACCTCACTTGTTCCTATTGCATTACTTGTATCACTGATCACATCTTTTTTCATTTTCTCATCTTTTCCCAAATTCTCTTGGGTGTCTTCTTTGGTAAGCTCAACTTCACTGTCAATTGTTTGAATATCTGCCTCTTTTTCTCCAGTCTCTTGAGAAACTAAATCCATTGTTTGAATAGTAGTATCTTTAATTTCTTCTTCAGATTTTATAACCTTATTTTCAAACATCTGTTGCTTTTCCTCATCCCTTTCTTCCTCAGGTTTCAGACTCTGTTCAATATTTGTTTCTACAGTTATCATACTATTCTCTTTTCCTTCGTTGATTGACTTCATGTCTACTCTTTCTTGGTCTTCTGTGTCAGGCAGATTTTCAAGCTTGGGTCTCTTCTCCTCTCTCCCATTTTCCTTGATTATTATTGTTCTAGTACGGAGTTCATCCATAGCTCCTAAATGTTCATCAATACCCTCCACAGCTTTTCCAGGCTCTTCAGTAGTGGGTTTTTCATTAAGAACTCTGCTGTTAAATTTATCTTCAGGAGTATTACGTTCTGTTTTTTCTGAAACAGATTCCAAAATACAAGCATTTTGTGAAAGTTTATCTTCTTCAGAGCTGGCAATGCTGAGGTCAGAGGAGGCACGCTTACTTGCAGGTATTGGCTGAAAAAGATTTTATATATTTTTAGTGTTAAAACAAGATGGTAACCAAAACAACATTTTACTTTTTTTATGTATTTATATTTTAAAGTTATTTACTTCATATATAATGATTTAGTATATTTATCCAGTAAAACTGATGAAGTTATAAAAGTAGTTTAAAGAACTCACTAATCTTCACATAACACATATGACAAAGATGGATAGCAAGAGTAAACTTGCTATTAATCTTCACCTCTAAAATTAAAGGTTTGTACTGCTACTCATCAATTAATCCTTAAATACAGGTATAATCATACCTCAAAACCCAACTCTAAAAATTACCTAAATAAAATTTCCTTTCTATTATACTGACCAGAGAATTTTCTGTTTCTTCATCCTCCTCCTCCTCTTTACCATCTTCAACTTCTTCTGTTACTTCAGCCTTTGCCTCTGCAATCAATTCTCGGACTGGTTTGTTGGAATCCACAGTAACAAAAGGATGCTGTTAAATCATTAAAAAGAGCATGCTCAATAACATCTGAAATGCTTGCTCATAAAATAAGTTTCAAAACATAAAACACATTATTATATGGTAAAAATATAAACATATAGGTAGGAAAAATACAAACACTACCAAGTAATATTACATTTAGGAAAGAAGAAGGCAAAGGGGATTGAACAGGGGCCTGCAACCCCTACTTGTACCTTTTTAAAGAATCTGAAGGAAATATGTCAAAAATAATGACATTATATCTGTAAGTACACATACTTTTGTGTATGTTTGAAAATCTTGTAATATAAAAATTAAATTAAAATTTAAAGTATGTTCAAGTTAATTGTACAATACCAGTTCTTAAAAAGTAGCAATACATATAAATCCAGTATAAGCTTCAATAAAATAACAAAAATTTTAAAGTTAAAAGTGTCTACAAACACCTGCTTTTTTTACATGGTTCTAATATTCTTTTTTATTTATTTAAATTCTTTATTGTTTAAAGTATTACAAAAGTCCCCTTTTTCCCCCATTGACCTCTCCCCAGCCGCTCCCACTCCCCAGCACATGCCCTCACCCCAATACTGTCTGTGTCTATTGGTTATGCTCATGGTTCTAATATTCTTAAGAGTAAGAAGACACTTTATTATCTCTGTGTACTTGGCACTTAACAGTGTCTGTCACCGACTAAGGCTTTCAAATGTGGAGGTAGTAAAATAATAAAAGTAAGTGTGTCCCAGGGAATTCTTATTGCTTCCCCCCTCGCACCACATAAATACTTATAACTAACTTTTCCTATAACTCAACCTAACAGTAAGTGCCTCAATATTTGCCATTCTTTTTGTTCACCTGTAATATTAATTATTTCACTAAGTTTTATTTCAATATTATAAATAGGTCCTGCTATAAATCAAAATTATCCAATCACTTTAACACTATTTTAACATTTACCCTCAAGAGAGATGAGAAACAAAATGGAAGCAACTAACAAAGCGGAAATAACTAACAAAATGAAAGAACACAAACTCAATCAAAAAAGCACAGAAGGAATGACTTATAAGTTAAATACCTTTTAGCAATGGCAGCATCTATATGTTGGTAAAATAAATGTTAACTACTATAATGTATTTTGAGTTTCCACAAAGAAACTCAAGTGGAAAAAGAGCACAATGAATGAATCTTATCTTACCTGTAGTAGCTGAGATGTTGTCCACCTGGAATCCACATTTTTTTCCAAGCATTTCTTTAGAAAGTCCTTAAAATTCGAAGACCTTCAAAATAAAATTTTAATGGCATTCTATTTTACTTTCGTGTTATTAAAATCAAACAAAACTCTAATAAATTAAGTTTCATTATGTATGCAATAGTATTCAACATAAAAAACTAGTTAATGAGAATATTAAGATTTTATTAGTTATCTATAATAAAAGCATAATATGCTAATTAGACCAGACAGCTGAACGACCTTCTGGACGTCATTCCAGATGAAGCCACATCAGCAGGGGATGAGGCCGAGGCAGTTAGGGGTGATCAGGCAGGCAGGAAAGCAGTTAGGGACAATCAGGCTGGCAGGCAAGTGGTTAGGGGCTCTCGGGGAGGCAGGCAGAGTGGTTAGGGGCGATCAGGCAGGCGAGCGGTTAGGAGCCAGCAGTCCCAGATTGTGAGAGCGATGTCCGACTGCCAGTTTAGGCCCACAGGATCAGACATCCCCCAAGGGGTCCCAGAATGGAGAGGGTGCAGGCCAGGCTGAGGAAAACCACACACCCCCTCACCCCGTGAATGATTTTCATGCACTGGGCCTCTAGTTTATTTTTAAATACAATTTAGACATGTAAGTAAGTAGATTCAAAGTTTTAACCAATGAGATATAACCATATATTCACAAGTATGCCAAGTCACAAAAATTCTTCTATATTAAATTCCACAAATATAGATCAAACAGATATATGCCTCACTTTCACATAGTACAGAAAATACTATTTTCATGTAGAACTCAAGTCACTGGTATCTTCCAATTTATAGGAAAAGCCCTGGCCAGTGTGGTTCAGCTGGTTGAAGAGTAGTCCTGGCAACTGAAGGTCATAAGTTTGATTCCTAACTTAGGTCATGGCACATACCTAAGTTGTGGGTTTGATCCACTGTCAATGTGTCTCTCTCACATCGATGTTTCTTTCTTTCTCTCTCCCTCTCTCTCATCTTCCTTCCCTCTCTAAAATTGATTTTTTTTAAAGTTATGGGACCCTAGCCAGTTTTGCTCAGTGGATAGAGCCAAAGGGTCCCAAGTTCAATTCCAGTCAAGGGTTCATATCTGTTGCAGGCACCCGCCCCACCCGGCCCGTTCAGGGCATGTGCAGGCAACCAATAGATGTGTTTCTCTGACAATGACATTTCTCTCTGTCCTTCCCTCTCTCTTTCACTCTCTCTAATAAATCAATGGAAAAATATCCTCAGGTAAGGATTAAAAAAAAAAGTTATGGGAAAAGTCAGTTATAAGAGTTTAAATGGTCCTTAAGTCTTGAAACTATACCAAAAATCAGTTTTCTACTTCATATAGTCTTTGTACCATAAATTTAAATATTCTTAGAAAGTTGGAAGAATAAAGCGTCAAGTTTTGCTTCTTAAAAAATTTTGTTTAGAATATTTTACCATTTTGATGGTTGTGCTAATGTAGGAGGCTCAGATTTTGCTATTTTTAGCAGCACTCGCATTGGGTTTAATTCATGATGTGGTGGTTCTATCTCAGCCATTTCTATTAAAGTGATACCCAGGGACCAAACATCAGCTTTGTAGTCATAGGGTCTGTCCTTCGATGTTTCACACATGACTACCTCAGGAGCCATCCTATGAAAACAGAAAATTGAAAGTTAAGATGTTTAACTTAAGAATAGTGATTGCAACCCTCATAAAAGAGAGACAGGATCACTAATTATGTGAACAAATTAGTGAGTATAATAACTGCTGACATAACTAATCTGTAAATCCATAAAAATGAATACATACCAATATGGTGTGCCAATAAAGGAATCTCTTCTTTGAATTGTCCTTGTGTTTTTAGCTGATACTCCAAAATCCGCTTGAAATAAATAATTATACAGAAGTGTTAATGATAGTTGTTTAAGCAAAGTTCCCTGTAGTCTATGAAGTTTGGGAAAGCAAATCAAGTCCTTCATAAGGCCATTCTTATTAAAGGGTAAGAAAAATAACTTCTCTACCATCCTAATTTTGACCACCCTCTTCCTATCACACCTACTCACCAAAAATGATGCAGAAAAGATTCCATCATTAACACACTTAATACTGCCATCTTTATACATCTTCAGATCACAAATTCTCCAGATTGAAGAACAAGATTGTAACTTTAAAACAGACCAGTCTATCCACTTCAAAACAAATGTCAACTTGTGCTATATTATAATTGAATCAACAGATATAAACATTTTTCTATAGTGTAAAAAACAGAAATTATACCAAAGCAGCCTTTATGACAGCATATGGTTTGCTAACTTCCTCAGAAAATTATATTACAAAGAAAAAAATTAGGAACCATGTTTTCTGATTTAAATTATAGAGCACAGAGGAGATTAAAAATGGCGGTGGAATAGTGGATGCTACTACACAGACATGTTCCGAGAACCAAACTAGAATTACAACTAAAATACAAAAAACAAACAAACAAACAAAAAACCCCTGAATAATCAACTGAAGACTAGCTGGAGAGAACCCTAATAACCAAGGATGGAAAGTGGAGACTGCATAGAGACTGAGAGAGAGGAAGGGATAGAGAAGAAAAAAAAAACATCGAAATGGGAGTGTAACATCAATCAGCTGCCTCCTGCACGCTCCCTACAGGTATTGAGCCAACAACCCAGGCATGTGCCCTGACCAGGAATCCAACCAGCAACCTTTCAGGACATGCACAACCAACTGAGCCACACCAGCCAGAGCTGTATCTATAATTTTGGCAGATATTGCCAAATTGCTTGCCCCTTCCCTTGTGGTAGGCAAAATAATGGTCCCCAAAGATGTCCAAATCCTTATCCTCTAAACTGAGTACATCACAGCACTTCACATAAGGGATTTTGCAGATGTGATTAATCAAGACAGGGAAATTATCCTGAATTATCCAGGTGTGTCACTGAGATCCCAAGGTTCCTTATAAGAAGGAAAGGAGGTTCTGAATCAGAGAAAGAGAAGATGCTATGTTTGAAGATAGAGGATGGACCATGAGTCAAAGAATGCAGGCGGCCTCCAGAAGCTTTTGCTAAAGAAATGGATTATCCCTTGGAGTCTCTAAAAGGAATGCAGCCCTGCCAACACCTTAACATTAGGACTTCTGACCTTCAGAACTGTAAGAGAATAAATCTATATTGTTTTAAGCCACTCAAAAATAAAAAATATAGATACAGAGGCAGAGCTGCCTCAAACAGATTGTCAAACTGCAGCGGGAAGGCCGGGGAGGGTTGGGGGGCAGGAGGGAGGAGGGTAAGAGATCAACCAAAGGACGTGTATGCATGCATATAAGCATAACCAATGGACATAAGATACTGGGGGGTAAGGGAGGCCAGGGGATTGTCAAGGGCGGGGGGGGAAAAAAAGGACACATATGTAATACCCTTTGTAATACTTTAAGCAATAAAATAAATAAATAAATAAATAATAAAAATTTTTAGAGAACAGCAACAATATAAAGCCATTGTTAAACACCATCTTTTAAGTTTACAGCTCAGACAACCATTAATAGTAACATAAAACTGCTATTGCTGCCTAAATTACCTCATTCCATACATATATCTATCTTTCAAGGTTTCATGTTTGACATGCCACAATTCTCAAAATTAAATATCAAAATCCAGCATTTAGTACTTATACCCCAAGGCCTGGCACAGTAAATGGTAGCTACTATTATTAACCACTAGAGGCCCAGTGCACGAAATTCATGCCCAGGGGTGGGGGGGGTCCCCTCAGCCAGCTTGCACCCTCTCCAATCTCAGACCCCTCAGGGGATGTCCAACTGCCGGTTTAGGCCCAATCCCAGGATCAGGCCTAAACCAGCAGTCGGACATCCCTCTCACAATCCTAGACCGCTGGCTCCTAATGGCTCACCTGCCTGCCTGCCTGGTCGCCCCAAGCAGCCTGCTTGTTCAGTCGTTTGGTCTTCTCTCAGTAATCCCCCTGCCAGCCTGGTCATAGGCAGCCATCTTGTGAGGGCATGATGATCAATTTGTATATTACCTATTTATTATATAGGATATCTATAATTCTAATTTTTGTGATATTTTGTTGATAGAACTTAAAACTCATTAAGTCCTGCTTTGTAATCTAATTATTTGTGTTTATTATATGGTTCTCTCTCTCTTTTTTTTTTTTTTTTTTTGACCATGTAGTTCTCCTGCTTAGACATAAATAAGCAGCTACCTATTGCCTGTGGAATGAAGTTCAAGCTTCCTAATGTAGTGTACAAAATCTTTCATTACATTAGATATTTAATTAATGTTTTATAATTAAATTAATAAATGAGTAAGCAAACAGAACATATTATACTTGGAATATATTATTTACAGAAGATACAATATAGAATTATTCAGAACTCCTCACCCCTATTACCACCCCCCACCTCCTCTACTTATAAGCTTCTCTTATATTCCTGGAGGAAGGAGTTGAGATCACAATATGAAATTCTGCCAGAAGAGGTTCTGGACTCAGGTAAAGTCAGCTCAGTAATTATTCCATTGTTTTCCTAGAACCTATTAACACTATTCTTTTTAACTCTCTCCCCTATGAACATAACTGAGGAAGGGGGTCCAGAAACAGGCCTAAACAACAACTGTTTACTGTCAACATTCATACCCTCCAAGCACTCTAATGAACAGGAGGTACCAAAGACATCTTTGTTTTTTCTGTGCAAAGGGAAAAATTAAGTTTGCTATGTGCTTCATATTTCTACTTATAATGATGCGGCATATACACACTAGTCTGTTAAAATAGCATTTTACATACTTATTTTCATTTGCAATTATGTGTACCCAGTAAGATCATAAAAATTGGGGTATTGTAATATAGTTCTTGAGGATAGTATAATTCTATACTTCTTCATATATTGAACAGGGTATAAAAGAAATGGAAGGTTCTCTATATTTTCAAATTAATTAAACAGAAATTGAAACTATTTTTAATGTCAACCAACTCAAAACTATTTGGCATTCCTAAATCTTCAAAAACATACTTATTTTTTAAAGTATACATTATTTTACACAACAGTATATTCTTATATTCAAATAAGGTTTTAATATATTTACAGAAAAACAATCACCAAAAATGAATCAAAATTATAACATAACTAGTTCAAAATGAGCTACGAGACTTCAAAAAAGGATGTAAGGCAATCCTAGCTGGGTGGCTCAATTGGTTGGAGCGTTGTCCTGTACACCAAAAGGTTGTGGGTTCAATTCCCAGTCAGGGAACAGATTTGGTCCCTAGTTGGGGAGCATGTGGGAGGCAACCAATCAATGTTTTTCACATCAACGTTTCTCTCTCTCTCTCTCTCTCTCTCTCTCTCTCTCTCTCTCTCTCTTTCTCTCTCTCTCTCTCTCTCTCTCTCTCTCTTCCCTCCCAATTCCTTTCTATTAAAAAAAAAAAAAAAATCAAGCGCTAGATCAGTGATGGCAAACCTTTTGAGCTCAGCGTGTCAGCATTTTGAAAAACCCTAACTTAACTCTGGTGCCGTGTCACATATAGAAATTTTTTGATATTTGCAACCATAGTAAACAAAGATTTATATTTTTGATATTTATTTTATATATTTAAATGCCATTTAACAAAGAAAAATCAACCAAAAAAATGAGTTCACGTGTCACCTCTGACACACGTGTCATAGGTTTGCCATCACTGCCCTAGACGGTTTGGCTCTGTGGGTAGAGCGTTGGCCTGAGAACTGAAAGGTCCCAGGTTCAATTCTGGTCAAGGGGACATGCCCGGGTTGTGGGCTTGATCTCCAGTGGGGGACTTGTGGGAGGCAGCCGATCAATGATTCTCTCTCATCATGGATGTTTCTATCTCTCTCTCTCTCCCTCTTCCTTCCTCTCTGAAATCAATAAAAATATATATTTTTTAAATCAATAAAATATATCCTTAAGTGAGGTAAAACATAAAAGAATAACATTAAGTCAGAATTACAAAAACTCAGAAATGAGGTGGCAAAACTTGAGAAAATTAGAAAAATCATTTAGAAAAAAAGACTGCCGAAACCGGTTTGGCTCAGTGGATAGAGCGTCGGCCTGCGGACTGAAGGGTCCCAGGTTCGATTCCGGTCAAGGGCATGTACCTGGGTTGCGGGCACATCCCCAGTAGATGTGCAGGAGGCAGCTGATCGATGTTTCTCTCTCATCGATGTTTCTGACTATCTCTCTCCCTTCCTCTCTGTAAAAAATCAATAAAATATATTTTAAAAAAAGAAAAAAAGACTAAATTAAGAGGAATGCAATAGCAGATAAACAAATTCATACCCATTACCACTCCACACCCGTAACAAATATTAGCAAGGACATGGAGAAATTGGAATCCTTGTGCATTGCTGATATGAACGTAAAATGGTGCAACTACTATAGAAAATTATATGGTAGTTCCTCAAAAAAATTAGCACAGAATCACCATATAATCCAGCAATTCCACTTTGGGAATACCCAAAAGAATTGAAATCAAGGACTCAAACAGGTATTTGTACACCCATGTCCATAGTAGCATTATTCACAAGAGCCAAAAGGTAGAAGCAACCAAAGTGTCCATCAATGGATGAAAGGATAAACCAAATGTGGTATATACTAGTACATATAAGAAAATACTATTTAGATTTTAAAGGAAGGAAATTGACACACGCTACAAAATAGATGAACCTTGAAGACATGCTAAGTAAAATAAGCCAGACACGAAAGGACAAATATTGTCTGATTCCATTTATATGAGGTACCTAGAGTTGTCAAATTCATAGAAAGAAAAAGTTAACAGTGGTTGCCAGAGGTTGTTGGGGAGAGAGCAATGAGGAGCTAATGTTTAAAGAGTTTCAGTTGGAGAAGATGAAAAGTTTTGGATAGTGCTGATAGTTATACAACAATGTGAATGAACTTAATGGTACAGAATTGTACACTTAAAAATGGATAAATGGTAAATTTTGTTAAGTATATTTCACCATAATAAAAAAATGAAAAAAGATAAAAAGCACAAATTCAAATGTCTTATTTAAGGAAATAAACTTACCCAACTTAATATCTCCATCTAGGGTAAAAAGAATGTTGCCAGCCTTTAGATCTCTGTGGATGATTTTATTATCATGTAAGTAGTTCAATGCCTCTAAGGTCTGTTTACAAACTACTTGTATTTGGGACTCAGTTAATGGTCGCTCAAGTTCTGTAAGGAAAAAGTAAACAAATCTGCATTTTTACACAGTGAAAACATGTCAGCAGGCTCTTACTTTTACCATCATTGGCAAGGATCTTATACAGTGAATTTATTTTAGAAGAACTGAATATCTACAAGATTACTTTCCTCACATATTATACTCATCATTTAATTTTAGAATTTTATTACAATTGTCTAAGAATATAAAAATATAATTAAGCTGATTTCTTAACTGATTGAACTTCACCTAACAATAAGATATATGTATAAATGTTTGAAATCCATCAATTTTTATTAAGTGTAATTTAAGATATGAACGTAAAGGAAAAAAGGTATTTACCAAGCATCACAGCATCCACTGCTCCACCTGCACAAAATTCAATGAGGATCTGCAGGCAAATAAAAAAGCATGTGTTTAATACAGCATTGAGTTTGAGTATTTTTTCTTCAATTTAGCAAAAGGGATAAAAAAAATAACTGTCAAATTAACTGGACTATGGAAATAATATTATGCTAACCATAAAAGTGTTAAAAGTGTTGAGTCTTAATGATAACCAGGTGAGAAAGCACACAGAAAACACATTCTGGAAGTATGTGCTTTTTTGTTAATCACCATTTTTAGCGTGTCTGCTTCTCTAAAATAGCCAGGCATAGAATTTTTCTTCAGGATAGTATTTTTTTAATTTATTGATTTGAGAGACAGAGACAGAGAGAGAGAGTGAGAGAGAGAAACATGGACCCACTTTCCCACTCATTTATGCATTCATTGGTTGTCTTTTGTGTGTGCCTTGACTGGGGATCAAACCCGCTATCTTAATGTATAGGGACAACACTCTAACTGAGCAACCCAGCCAGGGCCAGGTAGTATTATATATCCATTTCATCACTACTGAATGGTTTTATTATTTTCATTTTTAAGATAACTATTGTGATTTAAGTGATCAAATGTAGTATTTGTAGCTTTACTAATAGGAATAAGTTAAAAAAAAAACACACGATATACACAGAACCTTCAGATCCTAGCTCAATTATCACTTCCTGATGGATGCCTTCCCAGACCTCCCTGGTACATACCAACACATACCTTCCTTCTTAACCCTTATCACAGTTGTAATTTTGACTATGTTGCTTTGGTTAATTAATGTCTACCTCTCCCACTAACCTATCCCTTCACAGTCGTCCAACTTTTTATTTTATAATAGTGTTGAATAAATATCTTATCTCTTTATTAAATTGTCTAGGAGTTCATTTTTATTATAAACTCTGGAAACATTTTTTAAGAGACCTGATCAGCTACATTAAAAGATATCACAGTAATAATAAATATAACTTTTTAAAATTACAAATATTAACAAATTACATACCTGTTTTGTTTTCCCTCTATATAACAACAATAACAATTTATTTTTCACAGATGCTTGCCAATTACAAATTGTTTTTAAATGCATTATATCATTAAAAAATAATTTGGGAGGTAGGTCATTAACTCATCCTATAATGAGTACACAGACTCATAAAAGTTAATTGATTTATTTAAGCTCCTAGAAACACCAGGATCGAAAAATATAGGCCTTTGATTCCTAGTCAGGTATTACTTGTACTACCTACTCTTCTGTCATAACACTTTGCTTCTTCCTTCAAGGAGAAAAACTCCATTTCAAAAACCCCTCTTGATTAAATTAGTGTTGGTGCAGAGCAAGAGACTGGTTACTATAATAAACATTAATTTTTACATCTATTTGTGTAATATTTTCTAAAAATGAACATAATTTATACATATAGCCTGAACCACTTATATCATGTACTAAAGCTGGGCCTGATTTTATAAGATAAATATTTAACATTTCTAGTAAGCATTTTATAATTTATTACATGATTTAGAAAAAATTTAGGGTAATAAAATTATAAACAAAAGAAGTTTTTAAAATTTTTAAGTAAATGCTAAGATTTAAAAAAATGAGAGAAGGCTATCTAATTTCATAGTTTAGGAAATTTAATATTCTAACCAAGTTTCTCCATTTGGGTCCAATGTCAAACAATCATGAAATATGGTACAATCTGAAATACACATCTGAATACACGGGTGGGCAAAGTAGGTTTACAGTTGTGAGTAGCAAAACACAGAGTTAATAAAGCTATTGTAATAATCATAACTTTCATGTCTTTTTCCATATGAGTAAATGTAAACCTGCTTTTGCCCACCCCTGTATCTGTTGAAGGGTAATTGTGTTGTCAATGACCCTCTCATCCGCAGATAACTCTCAACACAAGTGACTAAACAAAAGAGGTTATATACAAAATAGGCTTTCAAAACTTATAAACCTCTTTAGGACAATTAATTCATTTTGACTACTCCTACAGATCAACAGAAAATACTTACCCAAAGATTGTTCTCATAATAGAAGGCATCTAGAAGTTTGACTATATTTGGGTGATCACATGACGCTAAAATATCAATTTCAACCATGTAATCTTCAAGTTCTTCTTCAGATTTGGTGTCAATCACCTTTGCAGCAGCTAAAACGTTGGTCTCTTTATTCTGGGCCTAAAAATGTAAGATCAAAAATATCCCAATGCATACTTGTTTATTTTTAATAAACTTCATTTTTTAGAATAGTTTTAGGTTCACCACAAAGTTGAGCAGAAAGTACAAAGTTTCCATATACTCCCTGCTTCTACACATGCAGAGCCTCCGGCACTATCAAGATTCTGCACCAGAATGGTACATCTGTTACAATTAATGGCCGCTTGACACATCATTATCACTCACGGACCACTGTTTACATTTGGTGCACATTCAATTGATTTTGACAAATGTTATGACATGTGTCCACCACTATATTATACAAAATAGTTTCACTGCCTTAAAAATCCTCTATACATTACCTATTCATCCCTCCCTTCTTCATAACCCCTGGCAGCCACTGATCTTTCACTCCATAGTTTTGCTTTTCCAGAATGTCATCTTGTTGGAATCACATAGTATATAGCCTTTCAGATTGGCTTCTTTCACTTAGTAACATACGTTTAAGATTCCTCCATGTCTTTTCATGGTCTGACAACTCATTTCTTTTTAGCACTAAATAATAGTTCATTACATAGATGTGCGAATTTATTTATCCATTCACCTACTGAAAGCATCTTGGTTGTTTCCAAGTTTCAGCAAGTATGAATAAAGCTGCTACAAACATACATGTGCTGGTTTTTGTGTGGACATAAGTTTTCAACCCCTTTGGGTAAATACCAAGGAGCACAATTACTGGATCATATGGTAAAAATATGTTTAGTTGTGTAAGAAACTGTCAAACTGTCTCACATTTTTCACTCCCACCAGCAATGAATGAGAGTTCCTACTGTGCCACATTCTTGACAGCATTTGGTGTTGTCAATGTTTTGGATTTTCACCATTCTAACATGGGTGTATAGTGGTATCTACTTGTTTTAATGACATATGGTATTGAGCATCTTTTAATGTATTCACTGACCATCTGTAAATCTTTGGTGAGATGTCTGCCCAGATCTTTTGCCCATTTTTAATCAGATTGTTGGTTTTCTACTAGTTAAGTTTTAAGAGTTCTTTATATATTTGAATAGTAGGTTATCAGATGTATTTTGTAAATATTTTCTCCCATTAGTGGCTTGTCTCTATTTGTACCCTAGAGGCCCAGTGCATGAAATTCAGGCTCTTGGGGGTGGAGGGGGTCCCTCAGCCCAGCCTGCGCCCTCTCACAGTCTGAGAGCCCTCACTCTGAGGTTTAGAATAAAAAAAACTCTTGCAAAAGAACAAGGAACCCAAACTATGGGTGAGAGCTTCCCTGGATCCACTGTGATTCAAAAAGTAGAGGTGAAATCAGCGAGGAGGCACATAGAGAAACACGCATCTGCAGGGGCTGCCTCTGCGTGAGGAGAGAGGACAGACTCCTACTGTGAGGAGCCCCAGCAGCTCCTGTCTCCTCTCCACTGGGCAGGTGCCACAGAGGTAGGAGAGGCTCCCACCACCACTGCTGCGCTCGCCAGCCGTGAGCCCAGCTTCTGGCTGAGTGGCGCTCCCCCTGTGGGAACGCACTGACCACCCAGAGGCAGCTCCTGCGTTGAGTATCTGCTCCCTAGTGGTCAGTGCTCATAATAGCAACCAGTCATTCCATTGTTTGGTCAATTTGCATATTAGCCTTTTATTATATAGGATGCTTATTTTGGAAAGATAGCCTAAACATAAATATTAATTAATGCATGCTATGCACCATGCTAAGTGCATATCTTAATCAGATCTTAAAATACTAATTAGGTTTTTTAAAAAACATTTCAATATTATGTTATCATTTCAGCAAAACTAAATATATTACTTAAAAAAAAAACAGAAAAAAATACCAAACTTTTAAAAGCTACTAATAAGTGTTTCAAATTATAAATAAAAGTCCAAATCCCACTTTTAAGAATTGATCATAAGGAGGTAATTTTATAAAATAAAAAATATGCATGTGTATAAATATTCATCAAAGTACTATTTACAATAAGAAAAATGAATCAACCTAAATGTCCATTCACAAGAACCTGCTTAAATTATTCAATATAACTCTACAATGAGACATTACACAGCCAAAATGAATTGACTAACCAATTAATATTTCTTAAGATGGAATAGTAGCCATAAGACATCAGTGACTGGGAAAAAAACACAACTTATTAAACATGAAAGATATGTAATTTTACAGAAACTATACATCTATTTTCACATATGGATAGCTTCATAAATATCTAGAAAGACTTCATTAGTGAGGATGGTGGAATTTCAGGTGCTTTTGACTTTTTCTGTATTTCATACCATATTGTTTGAACTTTTAAAAATGAACATGTATTATTTTTACAGAAGCCATAAAGCATTTTAAAATCAGTATGTGGGAGATTTCTTAGTGATCTATTATCTAATCTTGGCAATAATGGAGAAAAGAATAAGCAAAACAGGTATCAGCCTGTATATGGGAATTTTTTGTCAAAAGAAAAATTCTGTATGTCCTAAATTAAATTACAGTAGACAGGAGAGTCAGAGAAAGAAACTGGAACAATTAACCAGTTAATAGTTGTGGGCCAACTAACTAAAGAGTGCTCTCACTCCTGAATATGTGTTGGAGCTCTAAATCAATCTCCAGAGTCTACTAGCCAACCACTAGCAAGTATGCATGAACTTCAGGACTGCTGCCAGTAACTAAACAACACTAGTAAATATTTCTTCCTTATAGATTGTGTAACTATCACAAAATTGCCCCCAGTTCACCTTTTCCCACCCTCCCTTACCTGTAGCCAATGTATATTCTTTCAAAACAACTTACATCTTTCTTCCCCAAAACAGAATGTACACAAGCGCCCATCAATGCCAGTACTAACATGCTAACTTTTCCATCTAGCCACATTACTGGTGGTTTAGACTTCATGCCTCAAAGCCTGGTCCTTTCCAGGCTAGCACTTGGCTCATTAAAACCTTTCTTTCAAGAAACTTTTAGCTGTGAACTCTTTTGTTTAACATTTTCTAAGTACATTATTGCTACGTTTTACTTCCTTAGAAAAAAATAGGGGCAAAAATACTAATTACTAATTAAGTAACCCTAATGTTTAGGATTCAAATAATACGTTTTGTACAAAAGACTTCAGCCCTAGCCCTAGTCGGCTTGGCTCAATGGATAAAGTGTCAGCCTGCGGACTGAAGGGTCCCAGGTTCGATTCCAGCCAAGGGCATGTACCTTGATTGCGGGCTCGATCCCCAGTAGGGAGGTGCAGGAGGCAGCCGATCAATGATTCTCTCTCATCATTGATGTCTCTCTCTCTCTCTCTCTCTCCTTCTCCCTTTCTCTCTGAAATCAATAAGGAAATATTTTTTAAAAAAAGACTTCAGCCCTAGCTGGTTTGACTCAGCCATAGCTGGATTGGCTCAGTGGATAGAGAGCTGGCTTGTGGACTAAAGGGGCCTGGGTTCGATTCCGGTCAAGGGCACATGCTGGGATTGCAAGCTCGATCCCCAGTGGGGGTGTGCAGAAAGCAGACAATCAATGATTCTCTTTCATCATTGATGTTGCTATCTCTCTCTCCCCTCTCCCTTCCTCTCTGAAATCAATAAAAATATTTCTTTTTAAAAAAGACTTCATACTGATTTACAATCTAGAAGAATATTCTCAGCTATCATATTTTAACAAATCTCCAATGTCTTTTAAGATATCTTATCTTATATTTCACTAAGGAAGAAAAACTTCCAATTAAACTATATCAACACTTTTTCATTTAGAATTTTTATATTATGCCTTTTTAAAGAACTTTTGGACATATTTAGACAAAAATTGTTATTGTATATCTATTATTCTGGTTCACATATAATTAAATACTTCATATATTGAAGTTTTACTCTTTGAATCACTTATTCACTGAGTTATCTAATGTCCTCACAATATCATTCTCTGGCCATTAAATTAACTACTATCTCCAAAATTTTATTTGAAGTCACTGTCTCCCATTTTGCAACTATAATGATACTACTTTGTTTATCTTACCACAGGTGCTAAAAGATTTTTAGGTAACAACCAGGATTTTTTCTTCAAAAGGTCCTTAAATAGTTTATTAATTGAACATCAAGGGATTGCAACTAACACCAGTGATACAACTAAGTTCAATGACAGATATAACATGACCCCTACCAGGCCAACAATAATATCAAGGCATCAATCAATAAAGGACATATTCCAATTTCAGAGATGTTAAAAATCAAGAAATCTGTCATAACTGGTGCAAATACAACATTATGTTGTATCTCTAAGAAAGATACTACAGTTGAGCCAATAATAATTAGAACTCACCACCTCCCTAAGTCAGAAGAAATATGCCAGTGAAACATAAGCCCTTCTCTCATCATTTTAATACTAGAGGCCAAGTGCACAAAATTCATGCACAGGAGGGGGAGGGGGGTGATCCCTCAGCCCAGCCTGCACCCTCTCCAATCCAGGAACCCCCAGGGGATGTCCGACTGCCAGTTTAGGCCCCATCCTAAATGATGCTATCTCTCTCTCCCCTCTCTCTTCCTCTCTGAAATCAATAAAAATATTTTTATTGCAATCCGGGACCACTGGCTCCTAACTGCTCGTCTGCCTGCCTGCCTGATCGCCCCTAACTGCCTCTGCCTGCCGGCCTGATCGCCCCCTAACTGCACTCCCCTGCCGGCCTGATCGCCCCCTACCTGCACTCCCCTGCCGGCCTGATCACCCCTAACTGCCCTCCCCTGCCAGCCTGATCACCCTTAACCGCCTCTGCCTCGGCCCCCACCACCGTGGCTTTGTTCAGAAGGACGTCCAGAAGATGTCTGGTCTAATTAGCATATTACCCTTTCATTATTATAGATAATACTCTGGGAAGAAAGAGACCAGAGGAACTGTCTTTGAAGAGGCACACTATAAAATATAAACCCTGGTAGTAGACTAAGGATATTGTGAGTGGAGTTAAAAGTCATTCTACTTCTTCATGCTTCTACTAATGTCCTGAGAGATTTTAAAGATGTCTTTTACTTAT